GACGAAGCTCCTTCTCCCTGCCTCTCCACCAACTCTGCACCCATTTCCGCAGTCCACCCTCCCTCGCCTCCGACTGAATGTCGCTCTTTGCGCATACAAGTTCCCACCAATGCAGGTAAGGCTTATGTGGAGGAGCTTGCCGCCTCCAAAGTTCACCTACAAGCCCTTCGGGAGCTTCGTGCTGAACGGGCTGTGACCAAGGGGGTGCAGGATACACCTAAGAGTGAGGATCCACCCACCATTGCAGATGTTGAGCCAAACGAGGATGTACCGGAAGTCATGGCTAACACCATCATCGAGGAGCAAGGCAAGATCGCCATTCGCAGCAACCAACGACAGAACCCTTCCAACCCTGATTACGATCTCAACATCCCACCCACCACCTATGAAGAAGCCGTGAAACGGCCAGACAGCGAACATTGGATAGCGGCAATGAAGACGGAATTAGAGATGATGAAGGAGATGGGGGTGTATAAGGTGATGAAGCTCCCACCAGGAAGGAAGGCAATAGGATGCCGGTGGGTGCTCGAATTTAAGGAGGATAATAAAGGGGGACCGGTGTAGAGACTCATGCCTCTCATGGCGTGACATGGCAGTTTCCACCAAGGAGTGCATAGCACGAACTTGTAGTGTCACTCTGTGTGCTACCCACAGCTATCCCTATACAAGGCACAGCTTTCCTGCACAATGCGCGCCATGCGTGCACCATTCCCATGCTTCATGATGTATATGCGCGCGTGCGTTCCTGCGCTTGAGCGCCCTATAGCGCCAGCCATCCAGAAGCATCCATCCACTGTCCACCAAGCCCTCTAGTGCGTATATTTCCATTTCTTTTATTAGCATATCATTCCACCTCTATTTTTATAATGGACCCTTACTTATATATATCTTTACATACCTACTTGGTAGCGCTTTGGCTCCGCATGACTGCGCTTAGGCGCGCTATATAAGCGCCAGCAGTACATACTACGAGGGGGGACTTTCCAACTTACTTTTCACTGAACTTTCACCTCTCACTTTACCTAGTACTTACTACCTAGAAAGTCGCAATAGAACTCTATTCCTTTACATCTTGCACTCTCACATCTCTTGCATCATATTATCACTTGAGTCTAGTCTATCTATCATTTCCGCATATGCGCGTGCACTTTGCCACGCTTTGCGCTAATACGCGCGCGCGTTCCCGCGCCTTCGTACCTTGCGCGCACCTGTGCTTTCTCGCACTTCACTTCGGCGTGTACCTCTAGATCTTCGCTGCACTTGCTTCCCCTTAAGGGTCGAACGCGCTTGCCACCTCAAGCATAGCAGACTAGGCAACGCACAACCTACAACATTTTTTAGATACAGTCAGGAGCTTCATTTGCTCCTCACAGTATTGTTGTTTCTACACCGGTCCATAAGGCGTGCCTAGTGGCGCAGGGTTTCTCTCAGGTTCCCAGTGTGGATTACGGAGCTACATTCACCCCTGTCATCAAAACCGCGTCCGTCAGGTTCATCACAGTGCTGGCGTGTCGTAACAATTGGGAATTGGACACATTCGACGCGAGGCGTGCCTTCCTCTGGGGTGTCCTCAAAGAGGAAATCTACATGAGGCAACCAAAGGGGTTTGAGGAGGGGAACTGGGCAGTACTGGTATGGCTGATGCTCCGAATGATTTACGGGCTAAAGCAGTCAGTGATGGAGTGGTATGAGCAGGTATGCGCAGTGATGTTAGAGCTCGGATTCATGCGTTGTGCCGTGGATCACGCCGTGTTCATCTATGACAACTCTCACAGCTCCGCCACATGTGTATACTGCATCGTCGGCTGGCACGTGGACGATGGCATGGGCACATCAAACTCCAAACCCTTCCTGCAGCACGTCAAACTCCATATCACTCAACATTTTGGAATCAAGGACCTTGGCCCTATATCACATTTCCTTGGAATTCAACTCGAATGCGACCGTAGCACTTATCAATTGTGGATGCACCAGGGGGAGTATATCTCCTACCTGCTCGGCGAGTACGATCTTTTAGACTGCAACCCGGTTCAACTCCCCCTCGACCCTAATCATCCCTTCGGCTGTGACACAGAGGTCTATGACGATATCCCTGCTCTCCCTACTCGCTACCGTAAGATCATCGGGGAGCTTCTCTACCTCATGGTTTGTACACGTCTGGACATTTCATTCGCAGTCAACACTTTAGCTCAGAAGAACGCTGCTCCCACAGCTCGTTTCTATGCAGCCGCTAAATGTCTCTTACGTTATCTCAGTGGGACACTTAACTTACATGTGCATTTCGGGGGTGACAGAGCTGATGAGGGTCTCCATGCCTTCTGCAATGTGGACTGGGCCAGCTCTGTCGAGGACAGACTCTCAATCTCCGGGTACACTTGGTTTTATGCTGGGGGGCTAATCGCGCATGTTTCAAAGAAACAAGCTACTCATGCACTCTCTTCAACTGAAGCCGAGTACATGGCCATGATGCATGTCATGCAGGAGGGTCTGTGGCTCAAATCCTTCATCACCGAACTGCACATTCCCTTGTCGTTTCCTATCGTCGTATACATGGACAACACCGGCGCCATCGCTCTCTCCAAAGAAGCCAAGAACCATATTTGATCCAAACATATTGACATCCGTTATCATTTCATCCGCAAGTGGATCGAGAAGGGCATTTTCCCTTCCCCACTGGCTACCATTGCACAAGAACATTGCAGACGTACTCACAAAGGCTCTCGTCCGTCCGACCTTTGTCATACATGTCACCGGGCTACGCTTGGTGTCTCGCTGAGGGGGTGTATTGACGTCAGAGATAATGATTTACCTTTTAGACATTGTATTACCTTCTTGTTCTCTTCTTGTTCTTATCATCATCGACACCACATGCAGCAAACTCGTCTTCTAGACTTCTTGCTTCTTGACCATACGATCTTTCTGCTACTCCCTTCACCGGTTCATTACCTAAGCTCATTCTGTCTTTCGTATATAGATCGTGCTGGCTCGTAGTAACACCTCAGTATTGTTTCACACATACTGAGGTGTGTATTTGTCTTCCCACTCGTATCCCACTCATACTCATGTACCCTAGCGTTCCTCCTGCCAGGTAGATACTAATCTAGTATTGTTTCACACATACTGAGCGTTCCTCCCGCTAGTGCCTACACCATCTGAAATCAGACATGTTCAGGCCCATCATATGCTAGGTACAACAGAGACCTCAGATATGTAGTTCCTCAGCATCATCATGTGTATCATAAAATTCAGATGGTAGAACTGGCAAACCCTCAGGATTTTCAGTATGCCAATATATCAGTACATCATTATGTGCAGACTGTCAATATGTCATAGACTCAGGTATTCAGCCACTTCCAACCTATCAAATTACTCCGTTGTTTCGGATGATCAGGCCCCACTATTATCAGCCAGTCATACACATAGACTATCATATGATCTGGTGCACAGGCTATCAACATATGAGCTATTCAGATTGTCCAACTTTTAGGCTAACAGATGTGCAGACATACCAGGATGCCATGAATATCAGGAAGACATTATATCAAAACTATCTGTAACTCCAAAGTACACCTTGACAGCCAATCTGTCCCATCAAATACTCAAAGGAGTCAGTAAGCCATCATGTCAAGGCTATCACATACTCAGATATTCAGTCACATCTGCACTATCCAATACTCAAGTCATTCTGATATGCAGGCCATCCAAAAAGTCATGACTTTCAGTACATTACATTACCATCACCCTCAGCCAAACATATAAAGCAGAAAGTCAATGAATTCTTGAAATAATGAAAAATGAGTAGTAGTAGTCAACTAGGAAGCCATCAACAATATATCAGAGCCGGTGTAGAAACAACAATACAGAGAGGAACAAATGATGCTCCAGACTGTATCTATAAATGTTGAAAGTTGTGCGTTTGCCTAGTCTGCTATGCTTGAGATGACAAGCGCATTTGACCCTAAAGGGGAAGTGAGTGCAGCAAGGATCTAGAGGTGTGCGCCAAAGCGAAGCACGAGAAAGCGCAGGTGCGCGCAAGGCGCGGGAACGCGCGTGTGTATTGCGTGAAGCACGGGAAAGCGCGCGCGCGTATGTGGAAATAAGAGAGACTACACTTAAGTGATGATATGATACAAGGTAAGAGAAGAGTGATGTGAAGTGTAAACAAATAGATTTCTACTATATTCTGCTAAGTAGTAAGTGAGTAGTAAGTAGTCAGTTGAAGGAAAAGTAAGTTAAAGGTAGGAAAAGTAAGTTGGAAAGTGAGTAGTACTATGTACTGCTGGCGCTTATATAGTGTGCCTAAGCGCTGTAATGCGGTGTAGAAACAACAATACAGAGAGGAACAAATGAAGCTCCTAACTGTATCTAAAAAATGTTGTAAGGTCGCGCGTTGCCTAGTCTGCATTACCTGAGGAGACAAGTGCATTCGACCCTAAAGGGGAAGCGAGTGCAGCGAAGATCTAGAGGTACGTGCTGAAGCGAAGCGCGAGAAAGCGCAGGTGCATGCAAGGCACGAAGGCGCGGGAACGTGCGCGCGTATTAGCGCGAAGCGTGGGAAAGTGCGCATGCGTGCGGAAACAATAGAGAGGTTAGACTTAAGTGATAATATGATGCAAGATAAGAGAAAAGAGATGTGAAGTATAGACAAAATGGATTTCTACTATGTTCTTCTAGGCAGATAGTGGGTGGAAAGTAAAGTAAGGTAAGGTAAGTGGTAAAAATAGAAAGTTTCACTATGTACTGCTGGTGCTTATATAGCGCGCCTAAGCGCGGTCATGCGGAGCCGAAGCGCTACCAAGTAGGTATGTAAGATATATATGGGTGAGAGTCCATGATAAAAATAAAGATGGAACAATATGCAGATGAGAGAAATAGAAATATACGCACTAGAGAACATGGTGGACAGTGGATGGATGCATCTGGATGGCTGGCGCTATAGGGCGCTCAAGCGCAGGAAAGTGCGCGCGCATATACATCGCAAAGCGCGGGAAAGCTGCGCCTCATATAGGGATAACTGTGGGTAGCACACAGAGTGATACTACAAGTTCATGCTGTGAACTTCCTAGTGAAAGGTGCCATATCACACCATGAGAGGCATGAGTCTCTACACCAGAATCTGAATGAGAGTCTTCATCAATACATGTGGCTCGACCATTCATACCCATGCCCTTGGCTTGGGCCTGCGCCCACCGAGTGGGGCGTTTCCGATGAGCATCTATGAAAGTACTAGCACCTTTAAAAATCTTCTTCCACTTATGACAAGTAGCACTGTCAATAGACTCCATGATAGTTCGGTGCTGTGACTCCACAGCCCTTCAGCAAACTGCCGATGTGATGCATTGGTTGGTTTCTCAAAGGTCCCTGTAGACCACATCTTCCACGTTCGTTCTACCTAAAATTGAATATGAACATGAGTATGAAAATATGTTGAGCTGAGGGGAACACATACCGCAACAGTTGCAATAGACAAAGCACCCTTAGGCATCGCGCGACGACGGTAAGGAGTTGGGAGTTTGTGAATGTATTCGAGATAAAGTGCGAACATGTCGAGGATACAATGGTCTTCGAAAGCTCCGTGATAAGCCTATCAAAACATAAGTAATTAGTGCTGTAACAACAATAAGACTTACATCTGGATCTGCCTCATCTCCGACACACTCTTTCCACATGTAGGGATAGACCGGAGGATTGACAAGGATAGGTTTTCCCCTCAAGTCAATTAACTTGGCCTGCTGCGGAACTACATATGCGACAACTTCGCGAATCTCGCTGGGTGTCCAGCCCTCCTTCTCGATGAACTTTCGGACGACAACTTGAGCACATTCACTGAAGTCGCTGCGGTAGTCATATGCGCACTGCATCAACTAAAGAGTCGACAGCAATCATGACAGTGTGCATAAGTAAAAATAAAGCACTTACAATCTTGTATACTGGGTCGTTCTACCTCGAAACTGTGTGCAGGATGTTCGGTATCGCACAATCCCATATTGATTGTATCTCGTCAGCGAAATTTGATATGTCCCACATGTTGTCGAGGCAGGAGATACACTCGATCCACATTGGGACAACAAGAGAATCGAAGAGACGATGGGATCCCGGGGGAAGGTCATTTTTGGTGAATTTGACACGACCTCGTGGTGTGTGTGATGATCCGTTGTTGTTGTTGTTGTCATCGTCAGTACCGAATTCGTGGAGTTGGGAGGACAAGGCCTTTGTAGCAGACTAAATAGATAATAGAAAAATCAGAATGAAAATAATCAACATTTAATTGAAAAAAACATGCACATGATTAGGTTCTCTCGGCTTTTGACGTCCATCGTTATGGCCTGCCTTTGAGCTCGTGTTGCTGCGAGATTGAAGGTGCTTGGTTGATGATCTTTTCTGAACATATACATTAGTTCGAAAGTCGCCGAAAAAAAAAAGACTTACATTGCCTGAGCTAGACTTCAACGCAGCTGTGCGATTATGAGACGATCGATCCGGGTTGGAGTTGGTTTGTGGACCCTGGATTTCGGGTGAAGGCCGTTTGAGTTGGTGGCCAACAACTTTCATCTGTAAGCGCATGATTAGTGATTAGTGTGATAGACAGGTAATAGATAGAAAAAAAACGCACCTTGCGCATGTAGTGTCTATAGGGTTTCACAACCTCCTCATTGCCCTCTTGCTCGACCTCTTGCTTGACCTCTTGCTTGACCTCTTGCTCGGCATGCATCATATTGTCATGTGGGACTGGAGGAAGGGGACCCGAGCATTGAGACTTGTTGAGCGCACGAGTTGCTGTTGGAGAGATGGAGGCGGAGCGGTTAGTGGTCTTGGAAGGAGGATTCTAAAGTATATAAAATTTGTAGTTAATATATTGAATGCAAAATGTAAAGAAATGAACCTTGATTATGTCAATGGACAAGGGAGCCAACAGCGGGTTGTCGTCTCCTTCGAGTACAGGTATCTGCATCTTCACGCACTCCTTTGGATCATCTCCAGGATCGGTGTCGTCCTCGAACTCGAAGCTACCTGGACGAACAGTATTGCGAGGCACTACACCGTTAAAATTGAGTGAATCAGTAAAATACAAAGGCCAGAAAATTGGTATGTACTTCCTGCCTTGACTGTTGGAGGACTTGGTGCAGTGCTACTAGTATGTCTGCGAGAGGTGTTAGGAACTTCCTTGGCCACTACTTGGCACCAGTCTTGGCGAAGGCCACTTAGTGGCGGTTGAGAGGAAAAATGGAGAATATCAGGCTTAAGTTTTTTGCTGACAGGCCTGCATTTGGATGGTAAGGGTGTGCGCAACAAGTCCATGAGGATGTGTTGACAAGTGTTGATCAATGTTGATATGGTGAGTCAGCTGCTATCGAGCGCCTAAGATAGTACTTGCCTTGTGCCTTCATCGTTGCTTTGCGCATGATCCTTGCCCTTTCGCCATTTCTCTCCAACAACTCCAACATCGCGATCATCTGATCCCCTTCCTGCTCCTCATCCCTCCTTTCCAACAGGGTCTTCTTCGCAGCCTCAACGTCTCCACGGATCTTCTGGGACTTCCTGGTGAGTCGTTATCGTCGTTTCTGTCCCCGTCTGTGTTGTTCTCATTTGTCTCTGCTAGAATAATGTCTTCTTTGAGCATCACATCAGCTACTTGATCAAGTGGAGACTGATATAAGTCATGTACGTATGTCCTTTGGTCTGAATGTTTTAGGCTGACGATTGCTGCTCACAGTTCGAGGTTTCTTTGTTACCTTTGATATTGGTGGCTGATTCGCTTCCTTGGTCTCTCGCGCATTGGTTTTCGCCATCTCCAGCTTGAGTTGAGCTACAGCGTCTGTCGCTGCTGCTTTCTTAGCCTGTTTGGCTTTTCTTGATGTCGGTCCAGGCTTGTTCCTTGGCTTTGGCTTCTTGATATGGGCCTGCTTCTCTTCATTGTCTTCATTGTCATCATTGTCGTCATTGTCGTCATTGTCGTCATTGTCATCATTGTCATCATTGTCATCATTGTCATCACTCTCATCGCAGTCCAACTTGGTGTTTCGTCTGGATCAAGCAGGTAAGTCCACCTTCCCTGGATGCTTACTCTTGTTTGACGGTCGTGTTGCAACCATTCCTATCGTTAGTATCAACATAGGACATAGTTAGTGTGACGACGAGCTGTGACAACGCTACACAGATAGTGACAAGTTCGAGTTCCGGGTAGCTTTGGACTTTACTCAAATTCTCATGCAAAAACTCGGTAAGCTCTTTGACTTTGTAATTATTCACCTTTGTTAACACATGTATTGAATTCTAGACTATACTTGAACATTATGGATCGCAAGACCTCAGAGTTTCAGCCACACAGGTTCTTCTGTGTCAATACCAAGGGCCCCGTTTGTCAACATGGCTTCAAGACACTTGGTGGCTACCGACAACATCGCAATTCCGTCCATATCAACCCTCCATGTCCAACACGCCCTCGTCAGCATTCTTTTGTGCATGACGAGGAGATACCTCAGGGCGCCTACTATATCCCACACCCAGTTCTTGATGGTACACCATGTGATGTCGAGGGCCATGATATACATCCACAGCATCCTCCTCCTGAGCCGCACACTCCACAAGACAATACCTGGAGTCCCTTCCCATCTCGTAGTCACTTTGAGCTTGCGGACTTCTTATTTTGGCGCAATCAGATGCCTGCAGCGCAGGTAGATGATTTGATGCAGGTGCTTGCATCTTTTGAGGCAAACCATGGCCGTCCACCATTCCATAGCAACACGCACCTCCTTGACACCATCGATTCAATCACCTCTCATGATGTACCGTGGCAATCACTTTCTCTTCACCACCCTGACTACAAGGCAAACCTCAACAACGAGGATGTTCCTCCCTGGAAACGTGCTGAATTTGATGTTTGGTATCAAGACCCTCGCGAACTATTGAAGAACCAACTTTCCAACCCGGAATTTGTAGATGGCATTGACTATGCTCTGTTACGCACTCAAATAGATCTGTTATGCGGAGCCCTAAGAGGGGCGTCGTCCGCTAACGTTCGTGATGTAACCGGAAGGGTCCGGTGTAGCGACTGAGACCGGCGACGACGAGTCGACGGATATCAGAGACGCGCGTGTCACGTGACTTCTAAGACAGATGTCTTCAAAGTCACTGACATTCTCAAAGTAAGGACAGTCTTGTCCGAATGATGAGTTGTCGATCGAGGTAGACTTAGGCGCGATGAGCACCTAAGAAAAGATACTAGAGACTGAAGCTGAGGGGGCTTCAGAGGGAAGTATGTTCGAGGGAAGATTGAGTAGATTCAAGTTAGGGAATCTAGTACAGAGTGACCGACTACTTATACTAAGTGGAAAGGGTTAAGGGCAAGGCTACCGTACTGTAGGTAAGGGCAAAGGGGAAATGGAAAGGGTATAGGTACACTGGTAGCAGAGCCTGATTAGTGATGTGAGGTCGAATGCGGAATGAGACCGAGAAACGTTGGAACGAGCCAACGGTAAATGATACAATGCGCAGCACGCATGAGTCAGAGGAAAGATAAGGAAAGCCACATTGGTGGCACGAGTCAGAACGAGTCATAGCCCGAAGGCACGTGCGCACGTTGGTGCGATAAGAGGGGGACAAGGGACGGGAACGGTCCCGAGGATCTGGTCAACGGATAGTCGGTAGAGAAGTACGAGCCGGAGGCATACGAGGGCGAGGACGAAGGGGAAAAATGATAGGGGGGCCATGTAGCCGATGTTACTTGTAACATGCTCCACGACAGGTTTTTGGTGAGCACGATCAGCATGTGTGGACCGATCTCATGACAGGTAATTGGGCCTGGAGTCAATGTGTGAGTCAGGTTATCTTAGTTACAGGTCAGTAATACAATATGATTGCTATGTTTTTAGAATACACTTGCTCATGATGATGATTGTCATGGAGCCATGTTCATACCAGTAATACTGGGTAGCAATAAGACTACTGTCTCAGTCGCGACCGGTCAGAATGACTACTATCCGCTATATATCTCTGCTGGGAATCTTCATAACAATATTCGACATTCGCATCACGATGAAGGTACAACAATTCAGATGGTGAGTCTGAACAATGTGTTGGGTCTTGCAGAACCTAGCTGCTATTCGACCCTAAAGGGTTTCTGGACCAGGCTCAAGGCTCAGAGGAGAGGAAATATCATAAAAACTTGCTGATCTCTCAGACTCATACTGGTAACTGGTGAAAAGATTGCTTGATTATGTAAGCTACAAAAGTGCCAACATAAGGTAAGGTAAAAACAGTCTCTACAAGCCCAACCAGAAATGAATCCCTACAACGAGTCTGTTAGCCTGGTCAGATTTCTTTCAATTCCAACAAGTAAGTTCATCCTTAATATATTTCAAACTTATATGAACTACCCTGTCCTAGCTGAGCGAGGCTACGAAAGTAGCAAGGAATATCTTCAGTTTCGTCGGCATCTATTTCATGCTTCCCTTCACGTGATTTTGGAGTCTTTTCGGCCGGCAATGCAAAAGCCTGAAATAGTTAAGTGCACAGATGGCCACTTTTGATGTGCTGTCTATGGCCTTGGTCCGTATATCGCAGACTATCCTGAACAGTCTTTATTATCCTGCACTATCCAAGGATGGTGCCCTCGGTTAGTTTATACTTTGTCCTGTTACTAGCTGGGCTTTGAGTCTTATTTTATTAATATTGTACTTGTCAATAGTGGGACTGCTGACCGAAATGACCTGGATGGGTCACAGTGCAATCAACGATCACATGTTCATACAACTACCCTTATGTGTGGCTACTCAATGCAAGAATTACGAACAGGCTGGGGCATTGTTGATCAAATTTTGGTATGTGTTACCCAGCAAACTCTTCGAAGTCCTGATGATGATGTGTGTACTAGCCTTTCACAGCATACTTTCCACGTGCGGATATTCACGAGCTCCTTGCTCCTGATATTCTGCACCAGATTATCAAGGGCACATTCAAGGATCATTTGGTCAAGTGGATCGACAAGTACCTTATTATTACATATGGTGAAGCACATGCTGAGTTTATATGGGCTGATGTTGATTGTCGGTAATCACAATTTTATTATGGATGAGTACTGGTAGTGATATGAACATTGTAGCATTGCAGCTGTGCCCTCCTTCCCAGGTCTTCGTCGATTTCCACAGGGCCAAAAATTAAAGCAGTGGATGGGTGATGATTCAAAGGCACTAATGAAGGTAAGAATGATTATATCCTTGCTTATCATTTATGATTCAATATCAGCCATAGGTTTTTCTACCAGCTATTGCTGGACATGTTCCAGATAGAGTGGTTCAAGCTATTAGTGCCTTTTTGGACTTCTGTTATATAGTCCGCCGTTCCAGTCTTGATGAAGGTGATCTTTCTGCACTAGATGCTGCCCTTTCATGCTTTCATAAGGAGTGAAACATCTTCATTGAGACAGGTGTCACACCTAATGGTATCTCATTGCCCCGCCAGCATTATCTCTGTCACTATCGCTACCTGATCCAGCAGTTTGGTGCACCAAATGGCCTATGTTTATCACTTACCGAGTCAAAGCATCGCAAGGCAGTCAAGGAGCCTTGGAGAAGATCTAGTGGCTATCTTGCACTAGGTCAAATGCTTGTAACTAATCAACGACTTGACAAACTTGCTCTATTTTGAGCACAGAAGTTTGCAGTGGGTCTCCTTGATAAACCATTACTGCCATCTGATGTTATTGCTATTGACCCTGACTCTACTTTTGATGATAATCCTGATGAGGAGAATTATCGAGATGATGGAGACTTGGAAGATGCAATTGCTGATGATCAGGATGCTGAAATCATTATCCAGCTGGCTAAAACACCAGGTTTTTATTTTTATTTTTATTTTTTATCTATTTATTAACTAGCATCATATTTCTTATTAGCCCTTCATTATCCAATTCGGTTACAGAGTATTGGTCAACACATTGGTGTTCCTCATCTCCGTGACCTTGTATGCCAATTTCTACATGACCAGCAAAATCCCAACCATCTCATTCCTGGACATGAAATGGATGTGTCCCTTTGTCCAGACTTCAATGGCAAGGTGTATGTTTTTCATTCTGCAACTGCATCTTTCTATGCTCCTAGTGATATTTGTGGAGTTAATGGTATGCTGCATTATGTCATCCGCTCAGCACCAACTTGGCATAATGGTCCTGCTCGTCATGACTGTGTTTTCATTGAACATGATCCTACATTACCAGGTTTCCAAGGTCTATATGTTGCTCAAGTGATTCTCTTTTTCTCATTTTGCTTTCGTGGAGTGGATTATTCTTGTGCACTTGTTCGTTGGTTTGAAACTATTGGTGACCAACCATGTCCTAACACAGGTATGTGGATGGTTGAGCCAGAGTTTGATGTCAATGGCCAGCGTCTTATTTCAGTAGTTCACTTGGATACAATTTTGCGTCCAGCACATCTGATTCCTGTTTATGGCAATCATTTTGTAGATCATGATATCAAGCATACTATTCATTGAGTGCTTTCTCAGCCTTCTATATCAACAAGTTTTCAGATTATCATGCCTTTGAAATAGCCTTTTGATTTGATACTACTAGTTGTATTTTTACTTTTCATATTTCATTCAACTTCTTTGTTACTAGTAGTAGTAGTAGCTGTTCTTTGTAAAACATGATATGTAATTTTCCCCATATTTATTTTTTGATTTGGCAGAGCCAACTCTAAGTCACCAGTTGGTATTACTAGTACTACTACCCCCTGCAGCATCATTACCAGTAGTATGCCATCACCAAGTTATTCAACATTAATGCCTTCAAAGTTTACTACTACTAGTAGCCCCAACTACTAGTGTTTTAAAGTCCAGTCACCAGACTGCAAATTGTACTAGTAGTTGCCCTTCCATTGGCCAAAAAATAAGAAACCAATACAAACTGGTTGAAATTGGTCTGTTATGACCCTAATACTAGCCTACTATATGGTAGTGTATGATTGTGCTAATTGACGTGCATTTATCACTGGTTGGATCATAAAAAACAGTCAATAATTCAGAAAGTTATGAGCATTTCAATAATTGCTCGTAAAAGTCATACGAGCCTGTCTGTAATGCTCATAACTTGTTCAAATCTTACCTATTTGACAAGATAAGAGGCTCAAAATGTTCCTACTGACAGAGTCTTCGAGTCTTGACTGGTTGTGGACCAGTCTACTCATAAACTGGTCTAAAACTGGTTGTAGAACCACAAAAGACTGAAAATATCAGTCCTGGTCCAGTTGCCTCCCAGTACTACTAGTAAGGTCAAAAAAACTGGACCAGACCAGATTTTACAACACTAGTATGAAGGATTGTAGGATCTGATACTACTGCTGTCTTGTATAATCTGATTGGCTGAAACTTTGAAAGAATGATACAGCTGATATACTACATGAACTGACCAGTGGAAAGACTGAACTATAGTACTTTATTGATAGAGCTGAATTATCTGACATTATGTTAAAGCAGTTATTATGAAAACTCTGACCTGCTGGGTTACTGTGGTACATGTTGCACTGGGATACTGTAGCTGCAGAGCTGTCTGCAAGGTCAGACAGGCTGCATATCTGTGTTTATTATTTGTCTGATTTGTCTAACTGACTAATTAGGCTGAGTATCTGCATGTTTGATCTTACTGATGTGTCTGATTGACCAATTAGGCTGCATATCTGTTTTTATGATTTGTCTGATTTGTCTGATGGTTATGAGGTCCTGGAAGAACTGCAGTCCTATCTGTGTTGATATGCTTGAGAGTCATGTAGTCCTGAAATGCTGATATTCTGTATAGCATGTTATGTTTGAGAAGCATGTCATCCTGTAACAATGATATTCTGCTGTATCTGAAATACTTGAGTGTCATGATGTTCTGATGTTCTGAGAGCATGTTGTGTCTGATATCACTGTCCAACTGTGAGTTTGGTGACCTGAGATTATGATTGGTCTGAAATCAGATCAGTCAGGTCATGCAGGTGTGTCAGTTAAATCAGGGAAAATCCAGGTTTCCTGATGCTTGCTATCAATGTGACTAATGAGACCCCTCTTAATATTAGAGTTGGACTAGGTTATCTCATCTAGCATCAATCATGTGCATAGGGGGCACATCGTGGCTTATATCTTGCGATTCAGTACCACCATCGATATCCTCTTGCGCATATTATAAACTATATATTCTGTGTGATTCATGCCTTGACTCAATGTACATTTCGATCTCGATCTGATTACACACAACATTTTCAGTACCTATTCTGAGAACAGAACAAATGACTACTTATTTTCATTCATCTATGGTCTGTCTATCCTGCCAGACTCAAGCTGTGCATAAACACTAGATTTCGGTGCTGCATGATGAGTGGGAATGCATTCAACGCCCTCATGCAATTCAGACACTCAACTATCATATGCATTGCAAATTGTGTATTGCCACATGAGGTGTGCAACTTCATTCTTACCCACAAATCATGAGTGCACCTTAGAAGCGATCACATCTGGTTCCAAGGCAATAAATACAAATTGAAGGAGAAATTGGGTGTACATATCGTGAAGGTATAGTCTCGAAGCCCGGAATACCGAGGTCCTTGGCAACAAGTGGCGCATGGTCATGACTAGATGCAAAGTCGTCAGATTGTCTTAGGAATACCTCGATCAATAAGATGGGGAGATGCACAGATTTGATCATATGCCAATATGCACGAACACTATGCGCTGGGCCAAGGACATGTCCTTGTCACAAGCCAACAACTGGACAGCTCGGTGCAGCGCTCGGGCAGCTCGTTTGGAATTCATTGTGCCATCCCCACACAAGTTTTTGTAAAATGCCTCGACTAAGCGCTGTACAGTACTATCATCGACTTTCCATAATGTCCCAACAACGCTCTTAACTCCGGCAAATTGCAGGCCAGCTGCTAGGTGTATCACTTCATCAGGAGTACTGAAGGTACCGACTGCAGCTTCACAGGCCGAAAGAAATGCAAACTGGAGGCGAGAAAGATCCATTTGTGCAATATCAAGGAGGGAAAGCGGCTGGTCGTGCATAAGAAAAGCTGACTTGAAGGGTTCATCAAACCTCTGTGTCTCATGACATGCAAAATGGACCCAGGTATTGTCTTGTAGTGTGCACAGAGCTCTTGATTTCATGGCATCAACACTGGTTATATTGGAGAAGGAAACAGTTGGGGGAGGGGGCAAAAGTCTCCACACCAATTCCAGCTCGGGCTCCACAGCATCCAAAGTGAATGAGGCACCGGCTGGGAGGTTCTGACCAACACCAACGAAGGGTACCGATTGGGACCTGTCATGACTTGCACGAGCCTTGATCAGCGCGGTGAGTGATGGCGTGTATGAAGAGACATAGTGCCGTGAAAGGGACTCTCCATCTTTCCTGTATTCGCCAGCAGCATGCAACAGCAAGAAATCGAAGAGAGACGTTGGGCACCACCATATTCGAGAACCTTGTCATGCACTTGTGCCTAGATTTTCGACCACTGGGCAGACGACGACATTCCACAGCTCTCTCAAAGCTTCTATCAGTGCTTGCTGGTTCCCTTTAGGACCGGTGTCTTTGGGAACTGCCTCTCGGAATGCGAGCACTAATTCAGCAAGTTTATGGAAATTGGTAGGGAGTTGAATACCAGTGGGAGGTTGCTTGTGCGGGATAATGATGGCATCGCAAGACAATTCACTTGCGATGAGCACGATAATAGGCCCATCACAACCTGCATCTTGAAGATCAGGGAACAATGGGGGAAGTAGAAAGCAAGAGAAGCCCTCGATGTTTCGGATCTCTTCTACAGTTCCATTCCAGTCCTCCACCCGACATCTGTACCGCTGTAGAAACAACAATACAGAGAGGAACAATGATGCTCCAAACTGTATCTATAAAATGTTGTAGGTCGTGCGTTGCCTAGTCTGCGTTACTTGAGGAGACAAGTGCATTCGACCCTAAAGGGAAGCGAGTGCAGCGAAGATCTAGAGGTACGCGCTGAAGTGAGGCGTGAGAAAGCGCAGGTGCGCGCAAGGCACGAAGGCGCGGGAACGCGCGCGTATTAGCGCGAAGCGTGGGAAAGCGCGCGTGCGTGCGGAAACAATAGAGAGGTTAGACTTAAGTGATAATATGATGCAATATAAGAGAAGAGAGATGTGAAGTGTAGACAAATAGACTTCTACTATGTTCTGCTAAGTAAAATGGTGGGTGGTAACTAGTAAGTTGGGTGAAAAAGTAAGTGAGTAATAGTATGTACTGCTGGTGCTTACATAGCGCGCCTAAGCGCGGTCATGCGGAGCCGAAGCGCTACCGAGTAGGTATGTAAGGATATATATGGGTGAGAGTCCATGATAAAAATAAAGGTGGAACACTATGCTAATAAAGGAAATGGAAATATATGCACTAGGGAGCTTGGTGGACAGTGGATGGATGCATCTGGATGGCTGGCGCTATAGGGCGCGCAAGCGCGGGAACGCGCGCGCGCGTATACATCGCGAAGCGTGGGAATGGTGCGCGCATGGCGCGCATTGCGCGGGAAAGCTGCGCCTCATATAGGAATTGCTGTGGACAGTACACAGAGTGGTGCTGCGAGTTGGTGCTGTATACTCCCTTAGTGGAAACTGCCATATCACGCCATGAGAGGCATGAGTCTCTACACCGCATTTCTTCTGCGTCTACATCGACTCTTGGGGTGCCTTCTGAATGACTGGCAGAAGGTTTATCAAGGAGGGAGCTTAGGTCTCTGAATCTTTTCATTAGAGTCACTGCATGATCGCTGCAAGTCTGGAGGCTATCAAGAGGCATGCGGAGCCGTGCCATCTGGGTCCAGATGATAGTCCTGCCTTGCTCCAACAGCTCAACAGCACGATGCACATCGCCACTGTGAAGGGCACATGATGCAGCGTCCACAGCAAGTGTGCCTTCATGGCATTATGATGAGACGATACAGAGGCCGTCACAGACATGTAAGCATCCAGGAGTTGCATAGAAGTTGCATAAGCCTCCAGTTGAGTACTGTGTGTATGTTGACTAGCATGGTGCACCCAACATAGACTTGCCCACAGGCGGGATAACAAGCCTCCAGAGACAACATTTGCTGCTACCTTGAGATGATGCATGGCAGTATTCAGACTGTCTGCATTTTCGCCCATGCCGGTGCCGTCAAGACCTGAACGATGGAACAATAGATAGACCATAGCTAGTGACTGATGGACTATTAATTGACGAGGATCATGTCGGGTCAACAGAGTCAATGCACAGCGTATGTTCTCTTGCAACTCGTCGAGGTCTTCTCTATTGTGTTGGTGCTCGAAGTGGGTGAAGAGTTGAGTTGCAAGGTTGTGACATGGACCAATCTGTGCGACCGACCTGGCACGAAGCCAGCACTTCCCTGTGAAGTGTGATAGCCGTATCCAAGTCTTCGCCATTGCCTCGGTGGCGAAAGCAGGAGGAGAGTAGAGCCGCGAGGTTGTTCAATGACCCAGACCTACATATCTGTGTGACCAACCAGAAGTAAGGACAGTGCTTCCCTCTGAAGTGTGATAGCCTCATCTAAGTCTTCATTGTTGCCTCGGTGATCAAAGCGAGAGGCGAGTCGATTCACGAGATTTTTTGATGACTTGAATCGACCTGTGTGACCGACTGGATGTAAAGCCAGTGCTTCTCTGTCAAGTGCAATAGCCTCATCCAAGTCCTTGTCATTGCCTCGGTGGTCAAAGCGAGAGGAGAGTAGAGCCACGAGATTGTTTAATGACTTGTACCGATCTGTGTGACCAACACAGCACAAAGATAGTGCTTCCCTGTGAAGTGCGATAGCCTCATCCAAATCCTTGGCATCGCCTTGGTGGTCAAAGCGGAAGGAGAGTAGCAGCCGTAGTTGTAGTATTAGACCAAATATACATGGCAATTGCCAATTTTGGTGTAGACATTTGCGATGGCAATTACCAGCTGCACATGTTGACCTACGGCTCTGGCATGTACCACCCCCGGCTGAGGCCTTGCTCGTAGGCACACAATCGCCCATTGAAATATGCTCCTCAATATTCCCTGGAATATATTCATATAATACAGATATATATTTTAAATATAGATACATAAATATATATACATTACAAATATATCATATCTGATCGGTTTGCCACAGGTACTAGAACCTAGACGCTGACCACAACCTGTTGGTACTTTCGTTCTTCACTATATTCAACCGTGATGATGGAGTGAGTCAATTTAATTTTGATAGTTGTGACTCACTATTTTACCCGTAGAACAACCAGTCCGGCGCTGGACGACACACCTGTGGCGTTGTCCAGCCCATTGCCCAACACAGGTCCAACCCCCACCCTAGCTTCTGGGACCAATATCGACGATCCCAACGCCTACGTTGAAAAACTGTTTCGTAACTGGGCCAAAAACTCACGCTTAGCATTTCTCAACAACCATCTGTCCACTTACCGCGAACGCGTCAATCAGGGCAAATCATGAGCAACCGACTATGTATATGAGGTAGTGCAAGAATATTTCAAACATTATCACTGGAGGTTGAAGATATTGGATGAGCCCTCGGAAAACAATCCATTGCAAACGGAGACGGATGAGTCGCTTTCCCCAATTGAACTCGAGCAAAAATCGCAAAAGGTTTTTGCGATGCAGAAGGTAAGTGTTTATACATATATTTATCTATACATTTTCCAACCCTCAAGTAGGTGATCAAGAGCTGGCTAGACTATCGTGCCAAGTCTTCAAAGAAGTTGTTCGTATGCTGTGGCAAGCCGGAGAACAACGAATGGGCTCGACTCCTCAGCCAACTCTCTGGAGTACGAAAAAACAAGCCCAAGGCCTTGCAAGCCCACCAGTGATGGTCAAAAGATCACTTCAAGACCGAAATCAAGTCTCACTTTCTCAACAAGTGGCGCAAGGCTGGGCTACCTAGCAAGAAGATGACGACCTTCCGTGAGAGGATCACATGCAAACATTTCAAGAAACTATCCGAAGAAGAACAGGAGCATTGGAGGGATATAGCGCAAGCTGAAGGTGAAGTGGCGGTGAAAGAATGGAGCGATCGCCTTGCGGCTCCTCCTTCCACATCTCCCATCAATAGACAAGCGTAAGCATTCAAATTCTTTCGTTTGTACATATCTGTACTAAGGACTAACTTAGGGCTCTGGATAACCTGGCAACCTTCGCTGGACCGATTCTTGCTGGTATGGCTGAAACTCTCAGCATGCACGTCTCCCTTTTAGTCGGTGGACCTGAACCTCGCAAGCAAGGTAAAATTACTGTCATTAGGTGTGTTTTTTGATGTCGTTCCAATACAAAACTAATGTCACGCTGAAAGTATGCATGAGGGTGTTGACTTGAGTGTCAAACCACGCAATTGGCAAACTCAAGATAAGACCAAGTTCAAAATGGTGATCAAGTCCTTTCAAGAATATTTATCACACACATATAGTAAATTCTTTATTTCTATCACTTAACTTTATAATGAACACTGGCATCAGCCAAACAGGACTGCGTTTCCTGTTGCCTCCTGGACAAGTTAGATGACCTGTTCACTATTTTTCCAGACGATGACCAATCTGATGCCAAAGAAGATCGTGAAGCAAATAAACTGACAACAGCCAAATATAGATGCCGGAAGAAACCAAAGCAGCAAGGTACGAAACGCGGACGTGCTTCTTGGCACGAGCCTTCTGAGCCTTCTGAGGCGGATGAATTGTCTTCGGATTCATCTTCCACGTCCTCCGGCTTGCCTTCATCTTCCTCGTCTTCAACTTTGTCAAGCTCCACAGATAGCGAAGATGATCATCAAGGTTCCAGACAGGTACTTCCATTTTCACCACCCACAGGGAACTACGGTGTCACACATTTTAATCCACGCCACAAAAAGACAGCTAACAGACACCTCGAGGCAATGAAGAAGGTTCGCATGTCCAAAGTGTCATCTTGTATATCCGCAGTACCGGATCATTTATCCGCAGTACCAGATTGTTTATCCGAAGTGTCGTCTCGTGTGTCTGAAGTGCTGGATGATACGGACAAAATAGACCAACTCCAAGAAGACACCTCCGTTCACAATGGTAAGATGACTACCGATTGTCCTCCAGCTCTATCGGTAAGTTGTACTAAACTAATATCTTCTTAGAAATCACATCCGCCACCATAATTGAGCCGCCTGCTGACAATCACGTTACCTGTCCACCTTTCGACGACGACCTGATTGATCCATGTATCAGAGATGACCCTGGGATGGCTGTTAACCAACCTCCTGCTGCACCTGGTAAGTATCGACGCTCGGTATGGTGACATATTAATATAATCTCAACACAGCAGCGGAGATTCGTGAGCCTATCGATAATCACGACATGGATGAGACACCCTCTGTCAAACGAGACACGGAAAGGGCCGTGGATCATCATGACACCCCTCTTAACACAAGTCTCGACAAACACATGGTTAATTTAAATCGAGCTACAGACAGTACGTAATTCATGCTTCTCCCATGTGCTATAGTTGTTCACGTTTACATACAGCCTCTCCTGGTAGCAACAGCTTACCTACACTCCCATCTGGTCCGCCATGGTTCAGCAATCCATTCCAGCAGCTGATGAACCCCACGCCAACTTCTCCTTGGTTGATTCAACTATCTGACATGCTGGTGCGCCTTGAGGATGCATTGAGCTTCACGAACGAGAAAGCCGCCTTGGGATGCGAACATTGTCCAGTCGAAGTCCACTGGTGGATTTCCCGTGGATGTAAAGGGAGACCAACCATACCCGATCTCGCCACATTCATATCGCAATGGTGGTCCTGGTGGCTCACGCTTCAACCGGAGTGGAGAAGATGTCAGGCGCCAACACTTATGACACGTGCAATTCTCCCTCGCACAGATGATGGCAGTTGGGACTCCCTCAACAAACCAGGCACAAACGGCATGCTCTCAGTTGTGGCTACCTTAAAGTGGTGGGCAGATGACGCTGATGGAAAGGGGCACGAAGACTTATGCTGGAAAGAGGCTGCAGACGATGTCGTGTGGGTTTTGGACCAACTCATAGCAAGTCGTTCTGCGTTGAAGTCTATGGTTTGCAGTGGGAGCAAGAAACAGGGTCGTTCTGGTACTCAGGTCAATACATCATCATTGAAGAGGACGCGTAATTGGCAGTAATAGAGACTCGCCGATTGATGCATTGCTAGGCTACACATCGAACTTTTTTACTCGCTTGAATACATGTTACATTGGACTATTTTTGTATCTTATATCAAGTCAATGCAACACGCACTTAATGAATCTGATCCTGCGCTCGCTGGTAGACCATGGCAACAAGTGTATTATGTATTCTAAGGGCAGTATGTCTGGGCTAGACTCCAGGCGCCTCCAGTCCCAAGACTTTTTGGTACATGGTTTCCCCAAGTAAATAGGCCTTATTGAGGTCACCCCAAACGGCTAGTGTGTAAATATCCTCTAGCATAGCTACCAAATGCCCAATGAAGCGAGAAACCTCATCAGCAGCGCGCCATTCGTCACATATGCCACACATGTTAAAAATTTTATCCTGCCCCTGCTGTGCCCAGATCAAATAGGGCTCAACACGCCTGACTGCATCCCCGAGTATCTCAATGTCCCCGACGACACTGGTGCACAATGATATAGCATATTCGCGAAGGACACCCTCGACGTATACTGTGGGTACTGCGGAAGGAACAATTTGCAGGACTTTATTCTTCGCATCGCGTACGAGCTCCAAACAGTCGGATAGAGTGACACTATAGTCGATCATTAAGGACACAGTTTAATTACTGTTGAAAATAAAATGTACATTGCCTCAAAGTCGACCTCGTCATTCGACAGGTCATTCGTGTTAGTAGACTCGGCTGTGATGGAGGGTGTGTTGTTCGTGCGACAGAGATGATGTCTCAATAAGATAATGTCTCGGTGCCTAAACACTTCAGTTGCAGGGGGAGAGGTGATAATAACAACCAAACTTACTTTTTATAATATCTCCTGCGTTTCTCACGCGTGGCCTGCTGTTTGGCTGCAACAGTGTGGTGAATAGTGGGGCGAACCATGAGGAAAGATTGTGGGTGGGACTAAACGAAAACAGCACCTTTATATAAGGAATTTGATTACCATAAATCGCTAATGTGCAATGAGGGGCGATGTAGATAGTAGTATTCACGAACTGAATGTAAACGCAAGGTCAATCAAGGGAAATAATGTCAGTGAATCATATCACTCACCAAAGATGCCCGCTTCAAGGTCTCAAGTCCATGTCGTTCAATACATGGTGGAGAAGTTGATCGAACTACATAGACCTACGTTTCGGTTATCTTGATTCAGTGGTAGGACCATAACTTATTTGGCGAGTCTAAGGCTCAGCGCACCGTGACGAGTCCAATCATGCATTCACAATGCACAATTGCGAATGCGCAAATCAATAAACAATAAACTACTATTAAAGAGTTACATACTAGGTTTATTCTGTAATCTTGATGATTTGATAGTGGGATGCTAGATTGATCCGTGTTTCAGTGATCTTGATTCGGTGGTAGGACCATAACTAGTAGTACTATTGAACTTGGAGTCAGCGCACAAGTACGACCATAGATTCATCAACACAATAGGCACATCAACGGACTACTATTAACGAGCTACATACCAGGTCACAGTATTCTGTGATTTTGATGGTTTGTTGGCACAACTGCTAACTTCGATGTGAGACTGAGATCATCGAATCATAGTATATTTGTCGCGTGATGTACACTGGCAATCATGATCATGGAGTTAATCTCGAATCAACCACACACTTTTATGGATCCAAAGCACTGTCCAGTTTCAGATAAAGAAGGTACACGACAGATAACATTCATTTTGTTCGTTTTCACAAATGCTGAGCTAACATTAAACATATGTCGTGCATAGTATCACCGTGACCACTTGAACACATGAGATTATGTAAACAACAACTACCTGGTAAGTCTGTTCATTGCATTAAACATTCACAACATGTTGGAGCTCATCGCAAATCAATCACATACTCATACTGATCTCAAGCACTGTCATATAACGAAGGTTTATTATTCTTTAATTTCTGTTGAACGAGCACTGACAAAATGTCACATGACACCATAGACAATATTCATTATGTAAACACGATATACATGGCAAAGCGTAAGTTACTACTAACTCCACATTTCGAGTCTCCAGGCTGAATAAACACTGAACTTGAAAAACAGAATATTCAACCATCATTCCAACATATTTAAGAAGATTGAACGTACGTGATCACTTGGAACTGATATCTGTCGTGGTGTCAGTGCCTTTGGTGGGAGCTGTGTTACTCAAAGCTGCAGCCACAGCTGCCTCGTATGCTTGAAGTTGTGTGTTGTAGTCCTGCTCTGCTTCTTCCACAATGACTTCACGGATCATGGTGCGTAAAAATTAATTCTTCGTCAGATCGCTAACCAATAACTCTACAACGGCGATCGCTACAAGCTTGACTAACAAGCGGGTGAGTGCTGGATTCTGTCAATGATAATCAATCTCACCACAGCAGGCAGGCATGCAAATTCGAGCTACTCGACTACCGCATGGACCACAGATGCTTTGAAGTGCAACTTCTGTGTGTCCACACTGGAAGACATCCCCGACATTGTGCGGAGTATTGCTGTCAGGCGAGGGTGGAGGCACATGTGCGGTGGACATGTCAGGCGAGGGTGGAGGCGTATGTGCGGTGGACATGTCAGGTGAGGGTGGAGGTGTAGTAGCGGTGGACATGTCTGAGGGTTGATTTGGTTTGGTTCAAGTTCAACTATTTGATTATGGGCTTTAAAATATTTTAACAGGGCTTTATGTGACTTCGGTGCATATATGCGAGGAGCCGAACGAGCGATGAATCGACCAGGTATGTCCTGATATATTTACCTATCTACCAAAATGATCGTCGGATACCCTCTTTTGTACAGGCTTCTTTCTTGAAGCGCTACAACTCAAGGGAGGGGGGAACTTGCTCGCGGGAGCGGGTGTCTACTGGTAAGCTCTAGCATTATTTCCCTCAAACGAGCCTTACTCATGTCAAGGAAAAGAAAATATGTGGCGTACCGCGATGAATCCGACTCAGACGACCATGCGACAACAGCTTATGCCAGGATGATAGCAGTGTCGGCTGGTGGTTGCAGGCAAATCATCATACCTTGCTCCCCGACAAAATTCAAGGCAGGTGATGTGCTGGAAAACCAAGTTGAGCCCCTGCAAATGGATAATTGGGAGCCAACCCTTGGCGATGACTTTGTATTTGACAACGAGATTGAGCCCCAACCCATCATGGTGGTCAAGGGACCAGCAAAACACTATGCAAACTCGGTGAGATTCCAACAAATTTTTGCTTCGCATACTTAACTCTTTATAGGATGCACCTTTGCATGAATGGATGGGCGTCAACGAGCGTGTCGGATTCCGTGAAGAATATCTTCTTGAAGAGCTACGTCTGGAGGGCCATGGTAGCTTAACAACGACACTGTGTTCATGCAGCGATATCGATAATAACATTGTACAAGAACACCTGTATCGTTGTGAAGATTGCTATGGACCAGAAATTTCGTGCAAGTCTTGTTGTTTGTTAAAGCATGCACATCATCCTTTACATATAATCAATGTGAGAGTTTCAAAGTTCAGGTTGTATTTCCAATTTTTTTTTGATGATGCACAGAAATGTAATGGGACTCATTTTGAGCGTAATTCCTTGGCCGACATGGGCCTTAGGGTTCAACTAGGACACAAAGGAATGCCATGTTTGCATCCGCAAAGAGGGCACATTTCTTTTGTCATGATTCACACTAACACAATCCACCGAGTAAACATTGATTTCTGTGGGTGCCATCAGCGAATTTCTCATCGCCAGCAATTGTTACGTTGTGAATGGTATCCGGCTACACTACATTTTCCTCAGAGTGCCTGTACAAGACGTGTTCTGGAGTTATTCCTCATCTTGACGTGGTCAAGCAAAGTATCTGGCTATGAGTTCTACGCTAGTCTCAAACGACTCACTGACAACACGGGTTTGAATGTACCTAAGGTATGTTATCGCACGGCCTATGCCTCGCAAATGTTGACTGCAGTCACAGTCTCGGTATAAAGAATTTATGAGAATGGTTCATCAATTTTGCCATATCAAATTAATGAAGCAAGCTGGCTGTGGTAATATAACTGGTGGTATTCATGAGACTGAGCCTGGTGCATTAGCCATCAAGTGTCCTGCTTGTCCGCAACCTGCCGTAAACCTGCCAGAGGACTGGGACAAAGTGGAGGGATCAATGAAGTAGGCTTTTTTTTTATCCACTGCATTCATTAAATGTCCCCTTCTTCATAGATTTCTTTACTATTTGATTATCGCTATGGATGCCAACTTCCGCCTCAAGAACAGGAATCAATTTTCTAGCATGGCCAATTCTGGGCTACACACAGGCCTGGCATACTTTGTTCCTGACAAATCTTACACGGAACACGTACTCAAGAATGCAAGCCAAGCCGATTGTTAAGACCATGCACAAAGGGTAGGACTGATTCTGAGGGGCTCGGCTTCAGCTCGTGCGCTGCGCCCCTTACCCGAGTATGTGCCCTTAATTTCAGATTGGTGTCCGAAGAAAGTCCGAAGATGTCCGAAGGCGCGAGAAACTTTGGAAGGACTTTCCGGACGGGTACAAGTAACTTCCGGATGAGTGCGGGAAAGTTCCAGAGGAACTTCCGGAAATTACAATGGGGTTTTGTCCTAATACAGATACGTGTAATGGCTACTCAGGACTTGTCCTGAGTAGAAGCAAACAGAGGAAAGGCTGCAAGGACAAAGTCTGAAGCAGAATAGGTCCGGAGGACCGTGGGAAAGTTCCGGACGAACTTCCGGAACTTCGGATGAGTGGAGGAGCGGAGGAGCGGAGGAGCGGAGGAGCGGAGGAGCGGAGGAGCGGAGGAGCGGAGCTCTGGCCTAGGGAGAAACTCCCTAGGCCTGAGATGGATATCAACTAAGTTGGAAGACTAGAACTGATTATGAGGACTTAGAGTGAAGACTAGTGCGAGGACTAATATGATATTCAGACTGAGGTACTACAAGACATATACACGAGTTTATATACTAAGAGAAATAACAGAAGGATCAATAAGCAGAGTCTGAGGCTATGTATGAAGCATATGCAAAGGTTAACAAATGTGAGTCGGAAATGAAGATAGGTTAATGGATCAGTAAGCATACCAGTAATAGATATAACCGAGGTACCGGGAACAAGGAATACCGGATAGGCTGTGTTAACGTTATATGCACAGGAAATGAATCAAGAAGCTTATCGTATATTGGATAGGAAATGTATCTATACGTCGGATAGGATCGGATCGGACCGGATCGGATGTGGTCCGGATGAGATGCGTGGATATGCAAGATATAATATTAGGGCAATGGGACAAGGGTGAACGATGCAGGCTAGCTGCGAAGGTAAAGGGATCTGGATGTGGATGTGCGGAGGTGCAGGGATCCAGATGGATAGAGGACTGCAGACATGGATAGGATATCCGAAGGTCCGGATGAGGCATGGGAATATTATCGGATGTAGGTCCGGAATACGGGATATGACACCGATGTAGGTTTTTTTAAATTTTCACTCGTGTCGCACACGCTCAGAGGAGACCAACCCATTAGATTAGCACTTGTTCGAGGTTCAGGACATTGGCGCACGCTGAATCCAAGTACTCGAATGGGTTACGAGCGACTGGCGTCAGCTTATGTCTTTGCGCACGCCATGAATTTGTTCGACCTCAAGGAGTTGGAGACCTTCAAAAGGGCGAAAGGTATTTTTGTTTATACTATGTATATCTAACTGTCTAACGATGAACTTAGATATGCTAATATGGATTTCATCTTCTTCTCATCCATCATGTCTCTCCTCCTTCTCTCTGTTGTCATATCTTATGACATTGCTTGCCAGTGGAAGCTCAATCTCACGAAGAGAATGAATGGGCTTCCAGAACACCTTCAGATGCCGGCGGCTGTCGCCCTCGCGGCATTTATATCTGGAATCCCTAAGTTCCACTGCCCTGCGCACAAAGAAAAATGTGTGATTCCACATTCCTTGAACCTCATGCCAGGCATAGGACGGACTGATGGCGAGGGAATCGAACACAATTGGGCAGAGATAAACCGTGTTGCAAACAGCACAAAGGAAATGGGTGCCAGTTATCGACACGATGTCCTCGATGATCATTTTGGACATCACAACTGGCGCAAGTATGCTGGACTAGGTACAATTTTTTTGGTCTGTTCCCGCCAATACAATGACTCATTCGATTTACAGGACTCTCACTACGGAGAAAATTGCTAAATGCTGTCAAGGAATGCGACATCACCAATCCTTTTTGCGTGACTTCAATTCAGCGATCGATGATGCACATCAAGGAGAATGGACTGCGATGATCGAGGCTTGGGAATGCGACAAATCAAGTCCGAATCCATACGTGCACAGCAAAATTAGTAATGTCTATCTATAGTTTTGAATTTTTAGTTGAAGCTGACTATGATTCAACAGGCCTTTCAGAAGCACAAGTATGTGCTAATCTCATGGACAATGAGAAGATTGCTATTAGTAATGGGCATCAACTTCCACATGAAATGACTCCTAGTTCCTTCATCAACATGGGCCTGGTTCTGGAAGACGCTCAGTATGTTCTACTTCTGCAATATTCTGAGATGCTCTTCTAATCATTGCCAGGCGACGAATCAAATCGGATCTCACAAGATCTCTCGGTGCGAATGGGCACACCGAACTTCACCAACGTCAGGTCATGCTACAACGACAGATAGCCCACTTCCGCGTCATACAGCGGGTATATATGGTAGGCATCGAAAACTGGATTGAAGAGCAAGACATGAATTTGTCTGACGACATCGAGGACGAATTGCTCTGGCTACCATCGACACTCCCTCCAAGCGATCGAGAAGTAATATGCACAAACAATGTTGCTCACATTGAGGCTGAGTTGCACAAGGGACAGTGTTGCGATTCACTTGATAAGTTGCACAGGCAATTACATACCAGATCCCATTTCGTCAAACACCACAATCTCGATTTACGTGGACAAAAAGCCAACACTCATGCAAGTTCCTTTCTCGCTCGGTTCAACAGCAAAATCAACGCTGCTGCTGAAAAGTACCGTGTCACTCGGTCAGCATTGCTAGAACTGGTTGGGATCAGCGAGCTGGACAAGGAATTTCAATATTTAGAGGCAAGGGACATTGTGGCACCTGTTGACATGGTGTCGGGTGTGAGGAGTACCACTGGAATGCGTGGAAGGACAAGGTCCGAGTGAGACGCATCTCGTGGATTAGGGCAAGGGTATCAGACGACATCGTGGATTTGGTCTGCTTTGGGAGTTCAGGATGATGAAAGTGATGCGGGTCTGAATGATGGTGAGCGCACTAATATATGTATCGACTCACTGTCCTGACCTTAACTGTAGTGTTGCATGTAGAATGGGCCAAGTCTCGTGCAATGGTGGAACGAAGAGGTTTTACTCCTCAAGGAGGAAATGCGGCGAACACGACAATTTCTTGCATGGCGTGCACAACAGTGGCAATCTGTCACTAATCTGTCACACCAGGACATGCAGATTGTGGCTGGCGCCATCGCATATGCCCACAGGCAGGCTGCAGTTCAGCATGCACTATTGGCTCGTTTCACATTTCTCTGGGGCACTGGAGCTGATGCGGACATCACAGCCGCTGCAGATGAGTTGACTGAATGTTTTGTCGAGGATGAGGTCAATTTTGATGACGAAGAGGGGTAGGCATATAGGGGCTTTCGTCTACTATTTTTATCATACCATATCATATTTGTTTAATTAGTCATCATGAATTAAATTTTATGTCGAACCTACATTTAAATATGATTTTTAATGTGGATACCCATAGTAATATTATTTACTGGCATGAACCAGCAGTGGGTGGCAGGGTGGCAAGAGCCTTAGATTAGGTCAAAGTGTGCAACTGGTAATTGCCGTGAAGAATGTCAATTGGAAAGCTGGTAGTTACCACTTTACTAGGTCTAATACTACAACTAGGGGTGAGAGTAGAGCTGCGAAGTTGTCTAATGACTTGGACCGATCTGTGTGACCAACAGAGCACAGAGCCAGCGCTTCCCTCTGAAGGGCAATAGCCTCATCCAAGTCTCCATTGTCACCTCAGTAGTGAAAGCGGGAGTAGAGTCGATTTGCAAGGTTGTTTAATGACTTGAAGCGATCTGTGTGACCGACAGAGCACAGAGCCAATGCTTCCCTCTGAAGTGTGATAGCCTCATCCAAATCTTTGTCCTTTCCTCGGTGGTCAAAGCGAGAGGAGAGGTTAACCGCGAGGTTGTTTAATGACATGGACCGATCTATGTGACTGACAGGGCGCAAAGCCAGCACTTCCTTGTGAAGTGTTAAGAATGTGCTCAAGGGTCAAATCCGAAGGGCTTGGCTTCAGCTCGTGCGCTGCACCCCTTACCTGAGTATGTGCCCCTAACTTCCGAAGACTGTTGAATGATGTCCAAAGGTTACTGGACGATGTCCGGAGGGTGTCAGGCGATGTCCAGAGTCCAATGTCTGATGCGCGGTGTAGAAACAACAATACTGAGAGGAACAAATGATGCTCCTGACTGTATCTGTAAATAGTTGTAAGTTCGCGCATTGCCTAGTCTGCGTTACTTGAGGAGACAAGTGCGTTCGACCCTAAAGGGGAAGCGAGTGCAGCGAAGATCTAGAGGTACGCGCTGAAGCGAGGCGCGAGAAGGCGCGGGAACACACGCGCGTATTAGCGCGAAGTGTGGGAAAGCGCGCCTGTGCAGAAACAATAGAGAGACTAGACTCAAGTGATGATATACAGTGGCTCAAAAAAGTGTCCCAATGTTTGTAGCTTTTCATGTAATTGCTATATCATGTGTCGAGACATGGGAATATGACTAAGCTATAGGGAGATGTCGGAAAGGTCTGCATCTCAGCTTCATTTCGGTTCCCTATACCGTGGGAAACTAATGACATTATGTGAAGATATGAGTATTTTAATTTGATGACTCATTGGGACACTTTTTTGACTTTGAGTTTTACTAATGTAATCTCTATAATTCTAGTACTGTGTGTGACCTCCTTCTGCTCCAATCACTTCTGCCACTCTTCTAAACATATTCTCTATCAATTTTGGGTATTCCTCTTTGGTGATTCCATCATACTCTGCTATAACACTGTCTCATAGTTGGAATAGCCCCTATAGTGAATCTTGATATGCTACAAGTAATTTCTTGAGTGATTCTCAGGGGTATTCAATATGTTTGATGTCTTGGGTCTATGTTGAACATGATAGAATAGTAATATTATGGTCTTTAAGTTATTTGGTAGCCAATCTAGAAGGTTGCTCTATAAGACTTAAGATCTCTTAATCACTATATTCTAATTGGAAAGACTGCTGATGCTAATAAAGTGATTAAATTGATTATTTCCATCATTCCTATGACTATCTCTACTCAAATAGTCAGACAGACTCTCAAGACAGCCCATCTTAAAGCTATAATCAAGAAAAACAGATTCCTCTGTCTCCAACCTATAAAAATAAAAGACAAGATGCTACTTTCAAGTACAAATATCGGACTGCTAATAGCTGAAAGAGGTTTATCTAGTTAGATAAGGTTAAAATCAATAGGATGAAATCATATGGCAAGGAATTTATATTAAAATAGATAAGACAATCATTAAGATAAAGAAAAGTTAAATAAACACCTTAAGTTTCAAGACAAAACTTGATGGTATAGGACTATATGAGATAAAATGGAGTGGGAATCTTCTATGAAGCAAAGGGGAGGATGAATACAGAGTAGTGAATACTCATTTGACAGGAGTGTCTGCTAAGAAGCATGCAGAAGTTATGAGTTAATGAAGAAGATACTGTTTTGTGATAAGACAATGACCCCAAGTATACCTCTAAATAAGCCACCAATAGCTTGCAAACCATGATATTACTATTCTATCATGTTCAACATAGACCCAAGACATCAAACATATTGAATACCCCTGAGAATCACTCAAGAAATTACTTGTAGCATATCAAGATTCACTGTAGGGGCTATTCCAACTATGAGACAGTGTTACAGCAGAGTATGATGGAATCACCAAAGAGAAATACCCAAAATTGATAGAGAATATGTTTAGAAGAGTGGCAGAAGTGATTGGAGCAGAAGGAGGTCACACACAGTACTAGAATTATAGAGATTACATTAGTAAAACTCAAAGTCAAAAAAGTGTCCCAATGAGTCATCAAATTAAAATACTCATATCTTCACATAATGTCATTAGTTTCCCACGGTATAGGGAACCGAAATGAAGCTGAGATGCAGACCTTTCCGACATCTCCCTATAGCTTAGTCATATTCCCATGTCTCGACACATGATATAGCAATTACATGAAAAGCTACAAACATTGGGACACTTTTTTGAGCCACTGTAATGCAAGATAGAGATGTGAGAATGTGAGATGTAAAGGAATAGATTTCTACTATATTCTGCTAAGTAGTAAGTGAGTAGTAAGTAGTCAGTTGAAGGAAAAGTAAGTTAAAAGATCCATGAAAGGTAGGAAAAGTAAGTTGGAAAGTAAGTTAGTAATAGTATGTACTGCTGGCACTTATATAGCGCGCCTAAGCGCTGTAATGCGGAGCCGAAGCGCTACCAAGTAGGTATGTAGAGATATATATAAGTAAGGGTCCATGATAAAAATAAAGTGGAACAATATACAAATGAGAAAAACAGAAATATATGCACTAGAGAACTTGGAGGACAGTGGATGGATGCATCTGGATGGCTGGCACCATAGGGCGCTCAAGCGCGGGAAAGCTGCGCCTCATATAGGGATAGCTGTGGGTAGCACACAGAGTGATACTACAAGTTCATGCTGTGAACTTCCTAGTGAAAGGTGCCATATCACGCCATGAGAGGCATAAGTCTCTACAGCGGGAATTCCGGCGGACGTTCGGGAATGAGAGGTAAGACTAATCCGGACGAAGTCCGAACTAGAAAGGAAACAGCGGAGGACTACCAAAGGTAGAGGCGGAGGTGACAAGTCTATAGGAATCAATCCTAAGACGAGCGGAGGTCGACGAGAGGATAACTCAAGTCGGACGGAGGAAGGAATGAGCAGAGTCTAAGATAATATTCGAACTAAGGATGTACATAGATTCTACAGGGTTTATATACTACTGAGATGCGAAGTCCAAAGCTATACAAAGTGGTGGACGGAGCGTATAAAAAAGTCAAATGCTAGTCTATCAGAAAATAGTAAATGAACCCGGAGATTAGATCAGAGGAAAATAAAGGGCGGAAATGAAACGAGGTACGGAAAATGATATAGTCTAACCAGAGTAGGAACCTACAAAGGGATAAGGCATGGAAGTTAGACACGGGTCGGATCCAGACATAGATAGACGTCGGCCGGATCCAGATATCCAGAAATGATATGTGTGATAGGTCCGGGTCCGGAACGCGGAATATGACATGAAGCGCGATAGCCTCATCCAAATCTTTCTCCTTGCCTCGGTGGTGAAAGCGAGAGGATAGTTGATTTGCGAGGTTGTTTAATGACATGGACCAATCTGTGTGACCAACTGGAAACAAAGCCAGTGCTTCCTTCTGAAGTAAGATAGCCTGTTTCAAGTCTTCGACATTGCCTTGACGCTTGAAGCGAGTCTTCAGCATCACGGACACATTACCTAGCAATTGCCCTCAGTAAGCATGCCCGGTATGGTAGTATCCCAGTGCTTCGCAATAAAGGGATATCACTTCATCTAAGGCACGGGGTTCATCTCTTTCCAAATACTGCCTCGCTCGATCAGCAAGTTGATTCAGTGATAACAGAAGCATGGCCACAGCGGGCTGCTCCTGCCCAACATCATTTGCATCAATGCTTCCAGCAGGATGTAGAATGCATGTTTCCACTGCAATCAAAGCTGCTCTGGAAATGTGGCTGTTGGCATGGCAGACTTCAAGGACTTCGCTCAGCAACTCTTCAGCTGCATCAGCATCCGCTGACCTGCACCAAATTGGTTCGGTGCATGGATGACTAATGCTCTCCCATGAGCCTAATACCCTAGAAATCACTACGAAACCATTTCCCTCTATTCTAAAGCCAGAATGCAGCTCAGACAAATATTTCATTTCATCTTTTCAATGGAACTCGGACAGGCTGAATATTTTTGTATATTTAATTCTGCGATGAATTTTGCTTAGTCATCCTCAACAATGACTCAGGCTGAATCCCACACATGTCAGGTGACTGTGAAAAATAGTTCTTGCATGGGTTACCCTGGGAAAACTTCCTCAAAACCCTAAATACTTGCCTTGCGTCATTTTCTCATTCAACAAAGTGACATCAGAACGGAACACCAATGATCATGAATATTTCTCTTGCAGCGCACAATCAGCCTGTCACATGACCCTTCAGTCACATGATGCTAAATCACATGATCTTAAGTCAGGTGACTTTTGATCCAAATCAAGTGATGACAGAACACTCAGCCCAAGCATGCTGACTAATGCTGACTAATTATGGTCTCATTTGGTGCAACATAAGCAACCCCTGCAAAATGATTTTTGGTACCGCTGACTAAGCTCACCCCTCATAGATGGCGGGAAAATGTAGCACAGCCACCCTTTTTTTTGTATATAAGACCCAAATTTTTGCCCAAAGAAGAGAGCTTTTTAGCCCCACTTTCAGAATAAAATTGTGTGTGAAGTGTGATCATTGTCAACAACAGTGACCAGGGCTGTCAAGTACCTTCAGCAAAGTCATTGTAACCAGTAATCAGCCAGCAACTTTCAGTAACCAGCAAGCCCCTAAGCTCACCAGCATCAGCATCCAGCAACACCCTTAGCTCATCACCACCAACGACGACCAAGACCTTGAGCTCACTGTGCTCAACGACCGACAGAACTTTATTTTTATTTTTTTCTTCTTTGATTTTCTAGTTTTCTTCTTTTTCTTTTTCTCTTTTCTCTCTCTTTCTTTCTTTGTCTTTCTTTTCTGTCACTCTTTTGTTTTTGTTTTTGTTTTTGTTTTTGTTTTTGTTTTTGTTTTTGTTTTTGTTTTTGTTTTTGTTTTTGTTTTTGTTTTTGTTTTTGTTTTTGTTTTTGTTTTTGTTTTTGTTTTTGTTTTTGTTTTTGTTTTTGTTTTTGTTTTTGTTTTTGTTTTTGTTTTTGTTTTTGTTTTTGTTTTTGTTTTTGTTTTTGTTTTTGTTTTTGTTTTTGTTTTTGTTTTTTCGCTCTTTCTCTCTTTTCTCTCTCTCTGTGATCCTCTCTCTTTCTTCTCTTTCAAGTTTCAGTGCTAAGCTTTCATTCATATTTTCAGAAGCTTTTGTGTTGTCTCTTTCGTCCATCTAGACTCCGAATAGTTTAGTGGGGAGACTTTAGGGATTGACAGTAATGCTTGACCTCACTCATCTGAGTAGTGATACTGAGCCAGGATCTTCCTTGTCTGCTAGCCTTTAGTTATTGAATAGGGGACTTGGTACTGAAACCAAGGACGTCCGTTCCTGATTCTGTTTAATACTCATCGTGAGTTCCTTGGCAGCAGGTTCAACAGTGAGCTAAGAGTTCTACTGAGCATTGATTAGTCTTGACCTTTGATTCTACCTGTTTGTGCTGAGGGGGTTGATTGCTGTAATTCCACACAACTCTTTCGAGATACGATTGTTACAAGGCATTGTTGTTGAAGGAAGGTTTGAAGAGGTGTCTTTTTTTTTCTTTGTTTCTTTTTGTCATCACCATACCGTTGGGTTGACTAGTTTTCTTTCGTCTTTCAATCACTGCCATACTGTTGGAGTGATTTCATTTCAGTTTCATTTTTTTGTTGGATTGACTGCATTGTTGCTGACCTTACAGAAGTACTGTTGTCTGACATAGCTTGGGAAGTGTAAACAGCCACCCACGAACAACCACGTTATCAGCCATTGGTATTTGTCTGAATCGCTGACCGTGGAGATATTTGTTTTTATAGGTGTTTATCTATAGATCATCTATCTAAGAAGACACCACTTGAAATTTCCATTTCGCGAAGTGCGACAGTAAACCAATGGCAAGATGGAGCTGGGTGACTGTTCGGTCCAGATGATCAGTGGGACGAAAGTCAAGGGCGTCTTGAAAAAGAGAGATAGGAATGTCGACATCGAGGCAACTTTTGTCAGCTTGGCAACTAGCAAACTTTACTGTGGCTAGATTGAACAGTGCTGCAGGGCGGTAAGGATGATCCAAGGGGCAGAGATCCGAGGCCCATTCAAAGTGCTTTATGGATTGTTCAAGGTCCTCACTGCTCTGCATCCTGCAGTATCGTGCGAGAAGACGATGTCCAGCATCCATCATTAGTGCTAACCCATCCATACCGTGGGATGTAAGCTACACATTACAGCTCTAAGCAGCAGAATGCCAGATTTTATTGATCGCTCACAGTAGTAATGGGGCAAAAAACTGCAGTGTCGTTTTGCTCAGAAAATTGCTGCTCCACCGTCATGAACAGTGAAGTACAAGCAGACAAGACTTCCTCCTGCTTTGGCTGAAAGATTATGGCTGTGATATTCATTAGCATCTGTCAGGCGTTATTTGCAATAGACGATACTGACGGTGCGATGTTTCGCTGCGATCCAGTAATTCTCCGACTGAGATCTCGAACGTGCGCAGGAGTTCTCCATGACAGAGCATGAAACCCAATTCGAATGAGGCATAGACACTGACCCGAACTTTAGAAGATGTATTGCACAGCCTAGAGTCTTTCTCAATGACTGCAGGACAGACGGGGTTAAGGACAACTTACAGAAGAATGCGCTCATGCCATTCCACGACAGTCTGGTCTACATTCACAGATTTATTGCTTGTCTGGTATTCAGCGCCGTCAGCCTTGACCACAGCATGGAAGCCAGCGGGGATCTGTCAGAGACCAAGAGTGAGATCAGTTGCGCGAATGGCTTCATGGAGATCATGATTACGAGCTGAACGGAGATAGATATCACATACCAGTAATAACGACTTGTTGCACTCCACTAAGGTGCATCTCTCCCGGGTTCTGGGCGTGTTCTGGATAGCTTGGCTGCTTACTAAACAATACGCACATAAGTTGTCAGACATGTGGATGATCAGTGCTTCATATACTTGTCCTGTTTTTGCCTGAAAATGCGAAATTAAGTCATAGATGTGCTATACAACACAACGACTTACGACCTTGGACGTTCTGAACTCTTCGTCTTGTCGTCGTTGTCGCTGCTTGACGACTTATGCTCACATTTTCTCCCTTTGAAGGGCTCGGCACTGCGAGTGGATTTCTCTATGTGAGGAGTTTGGGAAGTTTCACACGATGACGCTGAATCAGTGTCTGATTCTGATGAGCCTGAAGACTCAAAGGTGATACGTCGACGATGGGCCACCATGACAACAATGGTTGAGGCTTGAGAGTAAGTGTGTGCTGGAGGTCACGAAACACTGCACAGTACCTGAACCTGTAACGCCCTGAAGGAGAGGAAATTACAGCATCACCCACACCGTATGGCGCCGATGAGTCAACAGGGCAGAAGCGACTCGCAGAATATTGAGCCAGCTTTGGGCATCAGATTTGACAGTCTGAGACACATTCAACTAGGGTGCAATATTGATTAAAGCAGCCGAAACGGAGTGCGAGGTTGAAACTTCAACGTTCAACGTTGAAGAGCGGGACATTCCACACTTTCACAACAACTCGCACTGCCTGATTGTCACCGCCTTTGAAATTTGATTGGCCGTCCTGCTGCTGTCAGACAATTTGTTGCGCGAGAAGACACGGAACCAACAAGAAAATATGACTGTCCATGTTCAACTTGTTTTGCTGCAAGGAGTGCCGCATCAGTGCACAGTGCAAGGATCGCCTATCTATATTGTCCGGGAAATGTCTATGATAGTAGATTCAAGCGGAGTTTAATTTCAAATTGGGATGTAGCATGACTCAGCTTACGAGCTCACGCGTAAACAATAGTGTCGTTGTCAACGTTCACCACCACATCCACATAAGCAGAACAAATTTTGACCTCTGGCGACAATTACAACAGCCACCGCACTGTTACCGGGGGCCATGGATGTGGCTACTCAATTTTCATGTTGGGAGGGTGGCGGGCAGGCAGTGGGCGGGAAGGGGGTTGTTGATAACATGCGGGGCCAGCCACCTCCCAATTGGGAATTCAACTGGCCGGGCAGCTGACACACCCAGACTGGACCCTAGTAGACAAACACCCCAGAGTCTATCATAGACTTGACCCTAGACTTTCCGTAAGCCCTACTTTCACATATTTATATAGCGACAATATATAATCTTATGATGCCTTGGAGCGGTGACCACCCCCGTGCATCTCGTGTGTCAGGGCAAACTTGAACCCCACTGCTCATCTGCGCCTGCTGGAGGCCAATTACTATCTTACTCCATCTCTTACAACATGCTGCCAAGTTCCTCACAACAGTATAATGCGCTCCACATTGTCTTTGCAACAAAAGTTACTGTCCCCGACCATCTCTTACAAATACTTCCATCTAAACTCCAGATGACGCCTATTACCCTGCATTGGTGGGTGAAAATAAATAGGTGCAAAGGCATTGCGGGTGCGCATTAAGTTGATGTTCTAGATGATTACATGTGTCCTGATGCCAAGAAGATCAATGGCCTAGCTCCTGTGGCGTCTGAGGTTAGTGCAAACCTTCGACACCACAGCGCCATAAAAGCTGTGGAGGCTGGGAAGTCCACCCGCCGTCGATATGCTCACATGCACACTCGTGAAGCCTTGAAGCTTGAAGAGGTTAGCATTGCTGCCAGACTGCACAGGGCTTTGAAGCATCCTTCACGTGGGCACCTTCACTCTCGGCCAAGCCTCGTAATGCAGATGATGACCTTCTCGCTGGTGCAGAGAGTCTCTCACCTGACGACATTACTGCTGAATCTGCGGTTCTCGAAGTGTTGAAGAACATTAACAAAGTTGAAGTGCTGGAGGAAAAAATGCTTTTGATTTTGTTCAATGAGGAATAATGCCACAGGCTATTTTACATGAGGCTCAACGAGATGGTGAGTTGCAATGGCGAGGATAACGCAAACGGATGGGATGAGGCCAAAGAGTCTAGATATCACCACATGATGGCAGAAAGATACATCAATATGGTTAATGATCCATAAATTGCGATACATACTTTACTATAGTTATCCATCAGTCTAGGATACATCCTGTTAGTATAGTTATCCTGGCTTCTAAAAGCAGAAATTCACTCCTATTTGGCTTGTCAGGACTTCCCACAATATTGCCACACCGCATTTTTAGCCCCACAGCGTGGGAATTACTCCACAATGCCCAAAACATCGACCATTTGTGGAATCTCCACAATATCAATTATTCCCACACCCTCCCCACCTCACTGCAGCTTCACCACTACACCACAACAGGTCCCCCTTCATATATAAGTAGTAGTTTGGAATATATATGTATAATATAATACAATAGACCGCTTTTTTTGCTCATTTATATACCTGCTCCTCCTCCAGAGACCATTTAACATATAATAAGATACAGAATACTTTCGCATTTTTGCCCCTATGGTAGGGAAGTGTCCCAGGTTATTCAAAACATGTTTATAAGTATACATGAAGAGATTCCCATCTTTATTTTACCTCCTGGAGCCTTCTGCATCAATAGATATAGCATATATATGAGAAAATACAAAATATGTTCTCATTTTAGTATTTCCAGGTGGATAGACTTCAAAAAATGATCCCCAGCATCTATTTAACAGTAGGAACAATGTATCAGGAGCCCAGGACCACAGGACAAGACCTTGTTGTGTTGTATATCTCCCCTCTCCTGGTGGTTCACCCCCTGTGAAAGGTTTTCCTGCAGTACTGGACCTCAAGCATGGTAGGGGGTCTATTTCTATTCATATTTGGAGTATATATATCATATAGCTAGCTCATTACACCAACAGGATACTTCTACAGGAACAAAAACATAGAAAATCACATTTTTGATGTTTTTGATGTTTTTCAGCATCTTACTCTTGCACATATGATCCAACCTGCTCATATACAATTAGTGTAGCATATATACTTGCTTTTTATGACCAAGATCAGCTACATATAGGGCGGAAGTTTGGGATCTGATGTAAAGGGGACATTTTTACTGATTAGAGGCCCATATGTTCAACTTATCAATTTTTAATGATCGGACACCTGGAGCACATTTTAAATATATTCAATATCATAGACCCTAATTTACAGAAAGATCCACCCAGAGCTGAGAGTTGTGGAAGTGAAGTAGATAAGAAACTGAGTGTGGGAAAGTTCAAATGCTCAAAACATCGAAAATGGTCAGTTAAGCAGTGGTAGGACTTTACTAGGTCAACTCATATCTACACTACATTCTTTCCACCTATCCTCTACTCTCAGGGCAGTATGTAGCATACGTTCCTTAGGTAGTCTACTATGTATCCTACATATTTTTAATAAAATCTTCGACCTGTATTATATATAAATATGTTTTTGTGTGAAAAGATGTGTATTGTCACTTTTCACACATATATCATTTTGCTTCTCATTCACTCAATACTTCATGGATCTTTCTGAAACTTCAAGGCTATCTTCAAATATATATATGAGAGGTACTACAGGCCTCTGATCACTAAATATACCCTTTATTATCATGGAGGTCTCTTATCAGTAAAAATGTCCCCTTTACATCAGATCCCAAACTTCCGCCCTATATGTAGCTGATCTTGGTCATAAAAAGCAAGTATATATGCTACACTAATTGTATATGAGCAGGTTGGATCATATGTGCAAGAGTAAGATGCTGAAAAACATCAAAAACATCAAAAATGTGATTTTCTATGTTTTTGTTCCTGTAGAAGTATCCTGTTGGTGTAATGAGCTAGCTATATGATATATATACTCCAAATATGAATAGAAATAGACCCCCTACCATGCTTGAGGTCCAGTACTGCAGGAAAACCTTTCACAGGGGGTGAACCACCAGGAGAGGGGAGATATACAACACAACAAGGTCTTGTCCTGTGGTCCTGGGCTCCTGATACATTGTTCCTACTGTTAAATAGATGCTGGGGATCATTTTTTGAAGTCTATCCACCTGGAAATACTAAAATGAGAACATATTTTGTATTTTCTCATATATATGCTATATCTATTGATGCAGAAGGCTCCAGGAGGTAAAATAAAGATGGGAATCTCTTCATGTATACTTATAAACATGTTTTGAATAACCTGGGACACTTCCCTACCATAGGGGCAAAAATGCGAAAGTATTCTGTATCTTATTATATGTTAAATGGTCTCTGGAGGAGGAGCAGGTATATAAATGAGCAAAAAAAGCGGTCTATTGTATTATATTATACATATATATTCCAAACTACTACTTATATATGAAGGGGGACCTGTTGTGGTGTAGTGGTGAAGCTGCAGTGAGGTGGGGAGGGTGTGGGAATAATTGATATTGTGTACCGTTGCCCAGACGTATCAGGTTGTTTTTGGAATTTTCAATTTCAGCCATTACTCAGCACAACCAAACATTAGTTCATTATTCTATTATTGTCATCTCCGTCGTTCCAAGGATGCAGGCCGATGATTGCGAAGATGAGAACGAGGACGGATATTATACACACTATTCAACAAATCCTAGCGGGAGAAACCAACATAAAGACTGTTGTAAGTCTTTCCTGCCGCACTTCACTGCAACAAGCCTTTGACAGTGCATTTTTCAGCTCCCAAGGGTGATCATAAACTTTTCTACCCACTGTTCCACCTGGCTGTATCAGTACCGCCTGTGCACTCTGCAAACCTTTTCGTACCCTCTTTCCTCTCCATTCTACTCTACCCTGTCAAGCAACACCTTATGCATCTGTTTTCACATAATCATCTGGCTCATGGCCCCTTCCGCATACCCCACAACACCTCTCAACACTCAGACACCTTCTGATATCCTGCTGCCTATTCCCATTCCATGCGCGGAGGAGTCCGAGGAGACATTGCGTGCAAGACTCGTCCATCAGAGCAGGAAGTGTGGAACTTTGGAGAGTGACCTTTTGCTGAGTACGTTCGGAAGGTACCCTTACAGTTTCTGACTACAAATACCTCATTTACACTCATACTTATGAATAGCAGAATCATATACGCTGATTCCCCCCCACTCAAAGCTTGTCCTAACTGCTACAAGAAAGAACTGACACGCTCAAATGCTTATCTCTACTTTTGCACCGTCTGTCTCACTTTTCTATCAACATCGATTTGTTCCTTGCCTCCCACTGAAACCTCCGCCTCTTTCACATTTACAATAACGTTGATTTGTTCCTTCACTCTCTTCATTTCACTGTCTACCTTACATACATACCAACCTGTTTTCGTTCTCTCTTCCCCCTCAAACACATACTCAGCCTTACAATCACACAAATCACTATCATCATGGGAACTTTATAAGAATGTGCTCGTCAATGCGAAGCTACTAGGACTGATAAGTACTGTGGTATGACTCGGATATGGAACAAAGAAGGTTTGAGTGTTTAAGATCAGAAATTAGCAAAGGTAAGTGAGATAGAGTAGTACGAGAACTTCGAAGGCTTGAATGGCTAATGTTTGAATCCTGGGATGTGTTGTTCAAGTTCTAGGGCCTTGCAGAATTGATTACAGTCGTGAAGGGCTTGAAACAACTGGATTTGGTCTGGGCCTTTATCCCAATAACCCGAGTCTTGACTCTCACTAGCAGTAGTAGTCAGATACGGACATGCTAAAGATGGTAGTGGCTGCAAAATGAACATACATATGAGCTTGAGGATCGAACAATGTGACACTATGGTCTGGACTCGAGTCTACAAGAACATGGTGTGAGTAGGCATCCACCACACGTCCAATCATGTCCTCATTGTTTCCTGGTTGCTCATTACCAGAAAACTTCACCTCCCGATACAAAGCACCTGAAGGAAGGAGTGGTGTTGCAAGGAAGACATCATATAAGAGACTTCAATTGTCATCTGTTCCATCAGTTGGTGCGAGTGGCAACAAATCTGTGAGCTTTCCTATAAATGCTCCCACGATGTTCCATTTCATTGCTTTATCACAAGGAGTAAGTAATAAACAATGTAAATAGAAAAAACACACTTACAAGGTAGGCCTTTGACACCGTGAGCAAGTGCACGTTTATAGAACAAGTCCATGAAGTACTGGGCTTTGTGTAGAAGGCATAGTTCATCTGATAGATCTTTCATGTTGGTGTTACTCGACGAACTGATGGGCTTGCACTGTAGGATTGCATAATCGAGTCCTTTGTACCGTCCCTTAAATGAATTAATGATGCAGTGCAGCCACAGTGGCACAAGTTGAACTTACTCGAATGGCAAGCTTTGTCAGTCCTTGCCCAAGGTATCCACCACCCAGTTGTTTTGCACGATGTTGTGTCTGCCAGTTTCGTGCGATAGATATCTCCTCTAGATCTTCACAGTGTGTAGGTTCGATTGTCCCATCTGTGGCAATTGTACAGGTGGTTTGCCGAAATTTGAATGTTTTGAAGCTGAATTGTGCAGAACCTTGAGCTGATGGCCGGCGTTGATATTCACTTTGATAGAGAGCACGTTTCGCAGATGGGCCTGGGGTTGCAGATGCCAAGTCTTTGCCTCAAAAAAAATCAGTTTCAGACACCAAATTCAGCCAGTTTAAAAGACTTACTGTCAGATCGTTTTCTCTTCCGACTTGGAGCACTTTTCCGCGCTCTTGACTTGCCCTTTGAGTTGTGCCGAGTCTCCACAATATCAGGTGAATTGTCAGCCTCTTCATTATCCTGCAATAACAATCAGTAATGGTGTAGCTCAAGAATGGCAAAGGTAATGAAACAGTTACTTACCCATTCGATTTCATAGACATAGATGTGTAGGGTTATTCTTGGCACCTTTGCAGAGCCATCTTTGTCAGATAGTACACGCTTATGCTTGAGTCTCACGAAAAGATCCTCGATTGAACCATCCATGACCTGGTCCTCAATAACAGCAGTGCCCCCAGGCCCAGATCCTTTGGCAGTACAGAATGTGGCAGCCTCGCTATCAAGAAAATGCAAATGCCATGGTCAGCAGTGGGGCCCAACATAGATAACATAAAGATGTACAATTTGAACATTGAATCGAGAATTTCTGAGGGGATTGCATCTGTGCTCTGCACTGGTATGGTGCAATACATACCCTTCGACTTCAATAGCAACTGCTGAAGAGCACCTCGTGCTGATTCATTGGCCGGAAAGGTACAGTGTGAAGGAGGAATCTTTGCCTAGTGTAATATATATGAGTTGTCGACTGGTAGTACTGAGTGAAATGATACTGCTTACTCTCTTTGCAGTAACTTGTTTATTCTGAGCTGGATAAACCCACAACGAAAAATCTATATCAACCTGTGAATTTTTTGCTCTTGCTTTCAGAGCAGAAACCTTTCGATTGACTTCTGAAGCACTCAATAGTAATGAATTCTGAGGACGAGGCTGGTTTAGACGGTGCTGTGATGCAATGCTAGTAAAGCCAGATCTGCGATCCAAGATTGTGGCTGCAGTTGAACGAGTTGCATTTCCCACGCTTGAACCATGGCTGAGAATTTTTGCAGATTCGGACGCTAGAACATGATGCAACATAAGTACAAACCAACGCAGTACTACCTTGCATGGGGACATACATGGGTTTGATAGCACAGCTTCACCATCATGGTAGCCAGGCTGGACAACTTTGCAGGGCTCACACAAAGTGGATCGAAGGAAGTCATAGCATACCCCACAGTGTTTGCATTGTGGTTTATCCTGTATACGGTCTGAGTTAGTATAGATCCTCATTACATAGTAGATTTGCAATGCACATAGACAGCAGTACGTTCAGCTTCTGTGGCTTCCCAGAGCTTTGAACATTTTCCACATTCTTGGCCATCCATGGCGGGAAAGTTCCTCGAGCAACCTGAACATTGTGCCATGAACAAGGCTAAGAAGAAATGACAGTTGAAAATAGGATGCAGAGCACAAGCTTAAATATTGTATGCCACAGCCTTCAAGTGCTAAGTTTATTCGGCACCACTTTGTTTAGTTTACATTAAGTCTTTAATCTGTATTATATATTGTGTAGGTTTTTTGATACTGGATCACCGTCTAGCTTTCAAAACTGTCTATTTGCTACAAAATACAAGTTCTCTATAACCTAAATGAGAGGTAACATAGCAGAAAAGATGTTCCACACATTGTGAAAGGATAACTCCTTGAAACCAAGGTTCGTAAAAATGGTCTGTGCATGATTCTCGTACTCGACAGAAACAAAATGAATAAGATCCTCACCACCTATACTCTCCATCAGCTGCCTTACCACCTCACGGTCAACTGCTTGTAGGCAGTTCTCAGCTTGATACTCGTCGTGAAGGGCAAATGCAACATTGGGAGAAACACCTGATGGAAGTTTCTTGGAAGAATCCTTGCGAACACGGTGGTTGTTGAACTGCTCCTGAAGCTGATTCAGCTCTTGCTGAATTAGTTTCGGCCACAGCCATTTGACCAGATCACTACAAGTGAGACATTGGTAATTTCGTACGAGAGCTCTAGCTCAAAATTCACTTACTACTGTCTCAGGTCCATTTCATCATAGATGCCACTGCCTGCTTCCCAGAATACCTTGACATTGTCTCCCCACTGAAGACGGAGACAAAGCCAGCCACGCTCGATAGTCGTATTGTGGACACTCTTCAAAAATTTATGTGCAGGCAGCTCGTTCAATGACAGATGGGGGGAGAAGTGTTCTCTAGTATGATGTAATAAGCGTCAACATTAGAAAGATAACATGAAATCAACTACCGAAGTGCATTGGCAAATCCATAAATTTCCATAGTCTCGCTACCACAATCAGTTGTTGTCTGAATTGGGATGCCTTCAAATGTGAGAGTGAGCTCATATTATATATATCTAAGAATGACAATATAACAAACCACCAAGCTGATAACAAAGAGAAAGATATAAATAAGCAATTGCATCTTTAAGACGGTTGTTTGGCAAGACCCAGATACCGAGCCATTTGCCTGACCAAACATCACGAATTCCCCAAATTGGAAAGCCAATTTGAGTGAGCTTATCATGGCCATCACCACTCCACTCATGGTGCGGGCCAAGGACAACCAGGGGCCTCCGAGACAACTTCTTGCTGGTAGGTTGGCGAACGACAAAACCTTCAGGTTCTTGCAACATCATCTGGTCTCTGATGTATTTGCTGTGCAAAGGTCCCTTGCAGCTCAGTAAGGACAACAAAAACATGTAGAATGTACGAACCGCGGGAGCATAACTCCAGTTTTGTTTGCAATGAGTTCCTTCACAACCCGTGGTCCACGACGACCAGTAGGATCATCTGCAAGTTGGTCCAGCACGAGTTGGCGTTTGGTGACCTCAGGGAGTTGAGCCGCTGTTAAGCGGCTACCAAACAGTCCCAGTTCTCTTCTACGACGAGCGACTGTTGCTTCACTGAAGATTCATTTATAAACAAGCTAAAGTTATACATTGAAAGTGCCAACACGAAGCTCACCTCATTTTAATGCCATGTTCAGCTTGTAATAGCTTGCTTATGAGTTTACGATCCGAAATATTCTGCCGGTGATATTCACAAAGAAGGTTGGCAACTTTATGATCACCTTTGGGAGCTGAAAAATGTGCTGTCGAAGGCTTGTTGCAGTGCAGTGCGGCAGGAAAGACTTACGACAGTCTTTATGTTGATTTCTCCCGCTAGGATTTGTTGAATGGTGTGTATAATATCCGTCCTCGTTCTCATCTTCGCGATCATCGGCCTGCATCCTTGGAACGACAGAGATGACAATAATAGAATAATGAACTAATGTTTGGTTGTGCTGAGTAATGGCTGAAATTGAAAATTCCAAAAACAACCTGATACGTCTGGGCAACGGTAATTGTGGAGATTCCACAAATGGTCGATGTTTTGGGCATTGTGGGGTAATTCCCACGCTGTGGGGCTAAAAATGCGGTCACATATTGGATAATCCGTTTGAGCAGTGATTTGTAAGCTGGCAAGTGCCCAAAGCTTCTATAAATGATTCTCCTCAAGGATACATCCTGTTGGACAATTGGATAGTTATAGGTAAGTATGTATCGGTATTTATGGACTGTTGTCCATTCAAGATGTATTAATATAGCGCTATGGGCTGTAGATATAACCTTTAGCTACAGTTTTGCCGGTGATAACCTGCACCACTGACCCCAAGGCCCAAGTAGTTCTACTAGCTGCTGGCTCTTTCAACCCGCTTCAAGGACTGGCAGGTCAACTGAGGATCCTAAGGCGCGCGGGTGAGTCATGTGGTTGAATCCTGGTTGCACAGTGACCTGCTCATACTCACCGCATATTTAGTGTCACAAACCAAATTCCCGCAACAATCAATAGCATAGTTGCAAGGGTCGCCATCTTTCCCACATGCGCTAACAAACATAGATGCTGTCAAAGCAACAACAACGGCGAGGATGGAGAAATGCATTTTCTGTGCGAGGTGATATAGAAATCTTCTGAGGGTGATCTCGAATGATATCTCTGAGGACGGGGGAACGCTATAAGACGACGGCCAGCTTTTATATTCTGCATATACTTATGAGTGTGATTCTGATCGATTTGGCAGAATTTTTATTGCTATGTAGGGCTGTCGGCGGCGAAACCTACATGTGCACGTAACGCAGGAGTGTGTTCGGTTGATGGTACCATGACCCAATGGCATCTCTCACTCATCGCTTCATCATTTGAACCTGCAGTGACCCTGCGGAACAACGCTCATTCTCGTGAACCTCGTCGATACTCGATATATGCACTTGCCCACTCGTCGTACCCCGTGCAGAGATCATGAGATATCTTTCGACAACTGATTCTCATTCTCATTCTTGGTATGCGCCTAGTTAAAGATTCCTAGTTATGCATTATTATTATCTAACATATACAAGGACGGGACGTTTGATCTCGCGGAAGAAATTCGCGTTTACTCCATGTGCATGCCCATCCGAGCTCCACATGCACTCCAAGCGCTAGTGCACTCGGCAGTTCCATTTGTGTGCGTTCTTCGCTTCTCTACTCCTTTTGCAATTGTGTTCCACTGTTTCCATGTCTTCTGAAGCTCCGTTTGTCTCCTGATTACGCAAATTCGTGGAGGTCCAAATTCTTCATACCGGAGAGATGCATCGTCTGCCTCGCATCACCTTCGCTTTCACATCACTGAAAACCAAGATCTATGATAAACCCTTATATACACATTATAATCCCAACAATGTCTATAATCATATAAAATATGGCAGTGCAGAAGCCATAGTCTTGTATAGAAATATATTGTTATCCCTTGCGACCAATCTTTATCATGATTACCTGTGCCCGGCATTAGTTGAATGAATTTGGCTGTGTAAAAACTCAAACAGATTGATAAACACGCTAATTGCTGAAAACAAGATATATGTGTAGAACGCTATCCCCTATGACCAATAATTATCAAAATGGTTTTCATTTGGCATTGGCTGCATGAATCATGTTGTGACAATACTAAAACTGTACTGAAGTGATGATGCATGTTCGAAAAAGTGTCTCTCATTTAGCATTTCTAGCACAGCGGCTCTCCTGTCCAATAAGTAAAAGAGATAGAAATTCTTGCCATCTGTACCATCATATGGACAATTGCTTCATTGGCATCATGGTATTGTGGGTTTCATACTTGATTGGCCAGGAAGTCACATTGGGTTGTATAGGATTATACAGAGACACTCGGTACAATACATGTAGTTTATCAATGCCTCGCCAATTCTCTACCCTAATCTCATCATCAACACCGTCTGCAGGAACAATAACATGGGTTGAACCACAACAGATATCGTTAGTGCCTTGAAGTCCAATGAAAGCAAGGTGTCGCGGCAACTTGACACTATTGTTTCCTTATGCAGGGATTTGCACTGCTCAAGTGGTTGACTGAGTTTGGCGGTGCCGGTGTACAATCAAGCTCGGCGGTGCCAGTATAGGATCGAGTTTGGTGGTATATAATTGAACTCGTGGTACCATAGGATGTAACAGGATCGAGTTCAGCCATAGAATCGAGTTTTTGGCCATGGAATCACAGGGATCAAATCCAGATATGAGATCGAGTTCAGCCATATCATCGAAGACCAGTCATCCTCAGACAGAAACATAGACCACAACATGACATATCCTGTTGCCAGACCCTGTAGTACAGTGCGACTTTCTGGATGGCATCCTGTCGAGAAACTTGCAGGAAGTAGCGTTAATGAGTGATTGAAGGCAGAGTAGGTGATAGTGGGGATTGAAAATAAAGTCTGAGTCGGATCCTTACTTATCAATGACCGGAAGATATGCTCGGCCGGTGGTGACTGAGGTCTTGACCCTTCCCAAGGGAGTTGTACCTTGTTCATTTTGAGATCCGGTGGTCAAACTATTTCAGAATAGGAAAAGAGAAGGAGCAGGGTCGGAGCCGGGTAAGGTTGCGAGCTTCGGTTGCAGACAGCTAAAACCAACAGAGATCCGACTCGGATATCAACGGCAGTTTCGAGCATCGGTCGAGGATGAATGGCTAATGTTGACTATGAAGAAAGGCCAAAAATGCAGAATGGGTTTCAAGTAGGATTAAGGGATCATCCAGACCACCATTCACTACTGCCTGATCCCAACAACCGCCAGTGCTTAGTGTTACAGTCACTACGTGAGCCCCCAGCTACACGACCAGCCCTCTGCCACCTTGCACGGCAACGACACGATACCCAGGCCTTTAGGCCTTGATGATAGATGATGAATAGAAGAGAAGTCCGGAAGATGCCGGATTAGGTAAGCGATCTGGATCGCTTACATGATATGACGACATAGGTCTAGAAGACCTATATATGTTATCAAGATAGAAGGCAAGCCTCGTGTTGCCTCATGTACTGATAGAAGGACGCCTCGCGATCCTTATCCTAGATAGAAGCCTGCCTCATGCATGGTATCTCTGACTCGATAGATAAGCAGATTAGAACCCAGCTTCAAGCTGAGCTTAGATCGATAGAGTAGCCTTATATAAGGTCGATGATTAAAGTAGATGTTCCTTACTTTAATCCTACTGGGTTTTACCTTGAACTCCTTGTCCTGCTAAAGTTACCTGCTTGACATCAGATCCGTACCTTCAGAAGGACTTGAGACCCCTTCTGCCTGTAAACCGCTATCATCGCTCGCCTCCGCAAGCGTACGCAACTTCCGCTCTTCTGTGGAAGCCGACCTCGGACTCTCAGCACGAGATATCACTGTTGTGATCGTCGCTGTTAGATCATCCCAGTCCGCACGCGACATACCATCGTAACACTTAGTGCACATGCCCAGCACATGTCAGCAAATGCTGACGTGGCTTGAACATATGCGAACCACACCGGAAGGCGCCAGAATGAGAGGAGTGGAGGAGGGCGAGAAGGAGATGAGGGAGAGGTAAGTTTATGTCTTGGGTGCCTATGGAACTGAGGTAGTTAGCAGCATAAAAATGCACAATACATATCACATGCACCTCTGCAGCTTAGAGAAAGGTACCCACAATCCCTCGGCTGCGTTCAACACCATCAATCTCCAGTAAAATGTCACAGCTCATTCCAAGCACCACATCCCTTCGAGCTTTTGACAGACCGGCAGTGCCTGTTCGAGAAATCGGCTCAATGTCGAGTAAGACATGTTAGGACCTCATAAGCGAAGAAGGATGGCACTGACCACGTCTTGAGATGAATTGTTGAATCAGAAAATACGACAATGACAAGCAAATGTAGCGAAGCCATGGAGGACGAGTGCGACTCACAGTGGTGTGTGTGAGTTTTGTGTGTCTAGAATTTTTGGATAGATCCAGCGCCATATACGTTGAGCGTATGCCTACAGCATCGACGTCTTCCTATCATTCTGCACTGCCATATAGTATTAAGCAATTATTACGCATGAATGCAAAAACTATACCACCGGCTTAGAATTCGACATACTGTTAGAATAATGTGTCGAACACGACAAACAAGCTCATGGATCAGGAAAATGATGCTTGATAAGTAGGCCAATACATGGGTATATAAGGACAACACAGATTTCGCCAACCTTATAAGGTAAATATTGTCATACCGGGTTATCCGGTTTTCAGTGATGCAATCCAGCGCATTCAAGCTGGACCGTAAATCGAAACCGGTTTCCCCTGCAACCTGCTTATGCGACGACATTCAACGGATGTCAAGGACTAATGCTTGAGAAAGTCATGCTTGGCCTGTGCATAGATTTGTTCGCACACGGTCAGCTCTACACCGCACTTCTAGGAGTATGGCGTCGCTGACTCAAAGACGTTCGAACGTTATCTCCAAGAGGAGAAGAGGAAAGGATAAATGCAATACATCGGCCGGGTGATTATAGGCGGCGTTATGCATTATGAGAATGTTAACTGTATACCAGAAAATAAGATGTTTGTCACGCAATGAAGAGTAGGGTCTCGTCAGTTCCATCACACACATGTACAGATCTATGAGCGCTTGAGCTGCTAGGCGGTTGTGTATTACATAATCGAATGATGGAATCCGAATATTGACTTTAAACTTGTCCCGCAAACTGCAGAACTACAGTCATGTCCATGCACATATTCGGCCACGAGGTAAGTATGGCAGATCGCTGACTTATTGTGCTCGACGTCACTAGGTTTCATCCAGGCAACCGAGGAAAAAGCTGAAAATGCGCGTCTATCCTCCTTCGTCGGCGCCCTCGCCCTCGGCGATCTCGTAAAATCAACGCTCGGGCCAAAGGGCATGAACAAGATTTTGCAGTCGGCATCCTCGGGAGACATCAACGTGACCAATGACGGTGCGACGATTCTCAAGTCCATCCAGCTCGATAATGCAGCAGCCAAGATCCTCGTTAATATCTCGAAAGTCCAAGACGACGAAGTCGGAGATGGAACTACGAGCGTGTGTGTGTTGGCAGCGGAGCTGCTGAGGGAAGCAGAGAGGTTGATTTCCATAAAGATACATCCTCAGACGATTGTGGAGGGATATCGGCTTGCGAGCATCGCTGCGCTTGCTGCACTCGAGAAAGCAGCAGTCGATCACGCGTGAGTTTTCGCGTTTTTTCGCGTCGCTTTGAAACTTCTTACGAACTGTGGTTTCAAATAGTTCTGATGCTGCCCAGTTTCGTCAGGATCTTTTTAACATTGCTCGTACGACCCTGTCATCAAAAGTCTTATCACAAGACAAAGATTACTTTGCCAACCTAGCAGTGGACGCTGTGCTTCGATTGAAGGTACGTTTAATTGCTGTATATGACGCTCGTATTCACTATCTTCGAGGGTTCAACGGATTTGGAGCACATTCAGATCATCAAGAAGGTCGGAGGCAAGCTGACAGACTCATACCTTGACGAAGGTAGGTTGAGAGATACAACAAATCTTGCTTATCTCACGAGCGTACTCTCAAAAGGTTTCATTCTCGACAAAAGTATTGCTGTGAACTCGCCCAAACGGATGGAGAACGCGAAAGTCTTAATCGCAAACACCTGTATGTGCGCGACCATCTCGTATTGATTTGGAACTGAGGCACGGTCATCAAAAGCAATGGACACTGATAAGATTAAGATCTTCGGAGCCAGAGTAAAAGTGGACTCGACAGGAAAACTTGCTGAGCTTGAGCGGGCTGAACGGGTACTTGCCCGTTTGCATTTCTTCATTGTTTTTCTAATGACGCACTGCAGGAAAAAATGAAAGCCAAAGTAGACGCGATCGCCGCACATGGCATTAATTGCTTTGTGAACCGGCAGCTCATCTACAATTACCCTGAGTCTCTCTTGGCAGAGAAAGGTATTGTGGTGATTGAACACGCCGATTTTGAGGGTGTTGAGAGACTATCACTCGTCACCGGTGGTGAAATTGCGAGCACGTTCGACAGACCAGATTTAGTTCAACTTGGTAAATGCGACTTGATCGAGGAAATCATCATTGGCGAGGATAAGGTCGGCGCGATCGTTCACTCACTGATCTTGCGCTGATCAGAAGTCACAGCTCATAAAATTCTCTGGTGTGGCAGCGGGCGAAGCCTGCACTGTTGTGCTACGTGGTTCAACCAGTCAGATGGTCGACGAGGCCGAGCGCTCATTGCATGATGCGCTTTCCGTCTTATCGCAGACAGTCAAAGAAACACGGATTGTTTTGGGTGGTGGATGTTCTGAAATGTTAATGAGCTGTGCTGCAGAGGAGGCCGCGCGGAAGGTTAAGGGCAAGAAGGCGATAGCTGCCGAAGCGTTTAGCCGCGCGCTGAGACAAATACCTACTATCCTTGCGGACAACGCTGGATACGATTCTAGCGACCTCGTTGCAAGGCTAAGAGCAGCACATTATGAGGGACAGTCAGATGCCGGACTTGGTATGATTGTATTCTTTTTTCAGACTGATTCCGAACTTATAAGGTGTTCAGATATGAACCAGGGCACGATTGGCTCAATGAGACAACTCGGTGTTACGGAAAGCTATAAACTGAAACGACAGGTTGTCCTCAGTGCAAGCGAAGCAGCAGAGATGATAATACGGTAAGCAGCACGCCTTGCGAATAACGAACTCTCCTTTGACCTTGAATATAAACAGGGTGGATGATATTCTACGTGCTACGCCTCGGAGGCGTGAAGCGGTATAACCAGAGTAGTAGTATTCATTACAGGAAATAAGCAAGGGTGATTGTCTTAAACGCCTGGAGTGATTGCTATGACTTGCTCGAGTGACTGACCATCTCCGGCCATCGGATATTAATGTCTGCATTTGGTGTACGATTTGATGCATGTGGCTGCCACCCCTGTATTGTTTCAAATTTGCAAACTCTCGCTGAGTGTGGCGCCACCAATCGTCGTCCATCGATCGTGGCAGCTGTCTCCACTCCTGCCTTTAGTCGTTCGTCGACCATGGACGCGAAATGTCAATCATACGTGAGATCAGGAAATGTCATTCTATCGCCTTGTCAGGAACTCAACACAAAACTAGTCCTCAGCGACAAATGGGAACAGGCCCCCTATTTACTTCGACGAGTTCGGGACCCCATCCAATGAAACAGACGTCCTCACACACGGCGTCTGCACCAAGTTTCTGAACAGATCCAGCGCGATCACTCAGTCCAACATTGTTGTAATGTTCGAAGGGATATGTGAAGACGGCCTCTACGACCGAGATCAGGGTCAATGGACGGATCGCAGCCACTATTCCGATATTCTACTATTCCTGAACTGCCTGACAGAACGCTCATATGCAGCACTTTCCACGATGCCAACTTCCGAGACGAAGCTTCCAAAGCGGCGAATTTGGGTCATGCATCCGACTGAATCACCATTGAAAGTCGCCTTGCAACAGGTATTTCTTCTCGTGAACCATGACTCTCAGGGCGTATCGACCATGGATGAGGTGTACGCATTCGCAGAGCTTACATCTGATCATGGCCCACGTGATCAAAGTGGATCTCCTCTTCCGTTCACACCCAGCACCTCCAAGTCTCTCTCCCGATATAATCGCCCTTTTCTGTTTGGTCTATCGATCCAGAAATCAAACACTATACACCTCATCAAACATGATCAACGCGGCATTACCGCAACCCCATTTCACATCCATCGTTATCCATGTGCAGTCCTTGGCTGCATCAGCACTTTGGCTACGTGTGATAGCTATGATCTAGGCTGTTATCACACCGATGAGTCTGCTTCGATTAAACACGACACTGTATCCTCCCGATACATCAAAACCACTTATCACCAAAAAGCTACCCATTCGCGACAGAGTGCAGATCATCACATACGCGTCAGACTAACAAGACCACCCGTCTTCGGGTCCTTCGACGGATCCTTATTTCCTTGTAATTGCCCCTTTGGATGGAAATTTATCGTAGATTGCGGTGCCGCTCCTCGGGACCACGCACAGTTTTTGGATGAACTGAAAAACCTCAAAGGGGTACCAAAAATAGGGGCATATCGATCTATGGCGCTCGACTGCATGATCACCCACGACAAGAGACTGTTCGGACCACAGCATCTGATAGTGGAGAGCGTCATCCAAACCGTAGAGCATCTCGTCAGCATCACCTACTTTTCATCCCGCAAGGAGTTTTTCTCGGCGATAATATCATGCATAGAAAGTGAGTGACGACGCGTTGTGCAGTCCGACGCGACGTTGAATGTGCACGATAGCCCACCGTACCGCGTATTTCTCGCACAGGCTGCTTCATAATGACATCAATCCGCGTTCCATCTGTCTGCACGTGAATGATCCAAGTGATGAGAGTGTCATACCGTTTTGGAATTCGGACGGAACGCCTCCCATACGCCAAGCGATGCTCTGCGGGTGGAGATTCGCAAAACACATGGACCCTGACCACAAGAAGACAAGTTTCTATAGATTCTCGGTGAGACCTCTGAGGACCTATGTTATTTCAGCCACTAGAGGTTTTGTAGGAATACTTAGCAACAGAAATATTGTGGCACAAGAGTTGTTCGCCACGACGAAGACACGATCTGGAATCGTTCCTCTGGGTCATGCTTTCCATTTGCATCAATTTTGTCGGGCCTTATAGCCAAAAACGCACGGTACTACCTAGCTGCGTACCCAACTGGCTGCAGCCAGATTGCCTGCCTTCGCATCGGCTAGACATATCTCAGGAGAGATTCCAGGTGGAGGACTGGACTTCCACCTGCAGTGCGTGCTTCTCAGATTACTTCAACCATCCGCCTATTGTGAAAGGTCTTGCAAATCTCGCCTCAAAGCTATCGCCTCCGGGCTCCTTGAAAATTAAACCCAATGGCAGCAAGTCTGCCACATTCCCGGAAAATCCTGTCACGCACGATGACATGATCTTAGTGCTGAAAGATATCGTAGCAGAGCTCCCAGTAGAACAACCGCCGTCGGAAGATGATGTCCGAAAAGCAAGGGAAAGATATAGAAGTATACAGAGTTCAGTATCTTACCGGCCTCCAAATATCTACAACTGATCGCTATCGCCGATCCATATAGATGAGATAATCAACGCACATTCCTCCGTAACATTAGTACAAGCTTAATCATCATCTGGAAGGTGTCCGATCTTCTCGACGTCCAAAAGGATCGAATTCAACATCTCATGACAAATAGTGGCCTTGAGAAAGAGATCACATTGGCTTAGAATCGTCATTAAGTATATCGAACAGCCGAGATGAAAAAAGAGGGCATACTCATTATATCCTGGGGGTTCAGTTCGTCTTTCATCTTCCCACATGTTTGCCAATCGTCCATCAATCCATATTGCACTAGGAACGGGCGCTAGCCATGGGATTTCAGGGATGTCCGCTTCATTACGAAGCATTGCATAGCGCGGACCAAGAGGAGGGGGGAAGACTGGGCTATTTGGATTGAATCGCCAAGGAGACATAAACCGAACGATTTGTGACCGTCGATTGCCGATGAGGCGGGAGAATTTTTGGACAGTCCAGTCTGTATCAAGAGGCCCGCGTATATTCACAGAGGGAGCAGCAAGATTGCGAAGGAGGGAATGAGCATTTGCAAGCTCAGCTTTGGTACTCACGACCAGTTTAGACAACGGGTGGTCCAAAGATAGCAAATCTGGATGACGGTCACCGACTGTGACAAATACATCTCGCACCGGCATGTTCGTCTTGCTGTGTGACCGATGCCAGCAGCAACTCGCCCAATGCGAGATGAGGCACACAGAAAAGATGAGGATGGGGGCGATCATGGCGAGTTTCTCCCAATATGAGTCAACTGCGTACATAATAACTATGCAGCTGAGCAGCCATGCAGTATACTCCAAAATCGAGTTCTCGATGGCTTCCTCAAGTGCTAGCGCTACATGTCTGGGAAAAACTGCCAGGAAAGGCTGCACAGTGGTACGGCTAGTGAACAGAAGTATGAGCACGGTTGTTATGACTGGCTGCCAGCCTACTGGGGCCAGAAGATAGCAAAGCCCTGTCACAAATGCGGCATCTTGAGGATCATCCATGTTCTGAACGACTGGCTGTGGTAATGATGTGACGAGTTGTTTGTCCTTGCTAGAAGTTGAAGGTACTGGTAAACAGGCACAAATACGTTGAGCTATTTATGTACACTAGCGCCCGCAGGTTTTCGTCTCTGATAGTATATCGGTGAGTACACCCGCCTGTCAGGAAGCAGCCCGCGGGAGAGCGGAGTTCGATTCTCCGTCAGAGAGCATTTTTTGTATTCAATGACTCGGAAGTGATAAAGGTATGTTTACGGATGCAACTTGTTTCTACATACATAAAATAAATGAATACTAGGTTTGTGATTGATGGTTTAGTGGCAGTTTGAGGAACGACGTACCTCACTAGTGCGACGATCATTCGCGTAGGTTGTTGATCAGACGGATGTGGTCCTGATACGCATCAGCTATTGCCGTCGCTCTGGTACTATTGGCACTCGGTGTTGACACTACTGTCATTTACTAGTAAGCAACTTTACAGTTTCTCAATTTGCAATTTCGCCCTTGTGCGTCTTGGGTCCACTTTGTTGTTACACCAGTAGAGTCTAAACATATCTGTGACCTGATCCGGTGTGCAATGATAAGTAGGGGAGATTCCAGACACCATAGGTTTCAGGCCACGTGTCCTGGGCGTCTAATGATACACGAAGCACCCGGCCGCCGTACACCGTGTACCTCTGGAACTTATATTAAGATTCAGGACGCCCGCAGTCTCTCTAGCAAGTCGTGCTCAACACCATTGACCTCGAGCAGAATGACGAAAGCAAAACACCCCGTCATTCGAATCACCACCCCCAATCGAACATTTCGAGGTCATAGAGATACTCTCTTTGGAGTCGCAGTCTTTCCCGATAGACGCCATATGGTGACATCTTCGGCCGACAAGACGCTTCGTTTCTGGAACCTGGAAGACGGTGTTGAATTGCAGATAATGGAGGGACATTCCAACCTAGTGGAAGGATTTGCACTATCAAGAGATGGGAAATGGATGGCAAGCGGTGATCGTAGTGGAGAGGTCATAGCCTGGAACAACGACGGGGAACCTCTCACCCAGCCCATCAAAGTCCACTCCCAAAGGATACTGTCGCTCGACTTTTCCCCAGACAGCACATTGCTAGCGAGTGGCTCATATGACACTACTGTGGAGCTCTGGAACACCAAAACATGGCAGGTGCAAAGAAATCCAATCAGTTGTGGCGCTAAAGTCCTCTGTGTTCGGTATTCACCATCTGGTGAATATCTTGCCATCGCAACCGAGTCAAATATCCAAATATGGAATCCAGGCAAGAGGGATTGCATCGCAAAGTTCCAGGGTCACTCTGCGTATGGAGCATGGAATCAGTCATTAGCGTGGACACCTGATGGCAAACAGCTTCTTTCGGCTGGTAGTCGTCGTGATGAAACCATAAGGATCTGGGATTCATCGACCTGGAAGCAGGTCGGTGAGCCCTGCAAGGGCCATGCTGAGGCTATCTACATGATTGCCCTCAACCCTGCCGGCACCCTTTTCGCGACCGCGTCTGGCGACCACCAGGTTTACCTTTGGCGGCTTTCGGATCAACAAATCATTGCCATATTCAAACACACCGAAGTGGTGTGTTGCGTCGCCTTCTCCATGGATGGCAAGTACATCCTGAGTGGAGGAGCAGATTTGATGATCTCGAAGTGGGCAGTACCTTCGCTAGAGGACGTTCTCGAGGACCAGGCAACAGATGTAAGATTTTGTTCATTTTCCATCCCTTCTTCATCTCATTTTCTCCGAGGATGCATTACGGGTGGACACTCTGAAGGAACATGCGGCAAATAATGTGAGCTCCCGTCCATTTACAGTCGGTTCGTCTTGTATGTTGATCATCAATCTTGATGCCAAGGCTCAACAGCCTGAATGCGAGGTATATTTCTAGCTTTTACGCCTGCCACTTAATTTGACTATGCATCATGCAGATCCTCACTATCAGCACGATAGCCCGTGATGCATGCATAGCCGGAGACTTGCTCGCTGCTGACAAACTGTTAACACAAGATATCGCCGCCGATGGCAATGACTACAAATCTCATGCGAATCGTTCGTTTGTCAAGGCAAGAAATTCAGACTGGGACCACGCACTTGATGACGCGCTCAAAGTGAGATGCACCATTTCGTCCTGACCTTTTCAAAACCGACTAACTTATATGGCGATGTAGAGCATCAGTATCAAGCCATCCTTGATGGGCTGTATATCCAAGGGCATCGCCCACTGTGGAAAAAAACAGTTTCGAGACGCGATGAAAGCATTTGATATCGCGTTCATGTACGTGGATGCAGACTTGAATCAAACTCGTCTTCTACTCTTGATTAAGGTATGTCAATTGTGTCTTACGTACTCGCTACTCACACGACAACCATTAGGCCATCGCCCTTTTCAACGCAAATCAACATGACGAGGCGATTCTGCGCGTTCAAGAGCTAGCTACCACTCGCCCCGATCCAAATTCTCATGCGTGTGGTGTCGTGGAAGTGAGTGCTCCTGACACAGTCAACTCCAGATTAATGCATCGATGCTGATTTTGCGAACCTCGCACTCCAGGCTTATCTACACGTCCAACTGGGAAAGCATGCATTAGACGACGCACGTCACAACGAGGCGGCTGGCCACTTCACTGCTGCTGTCAACACTATTAATTTCTTGTCTGTGTCGGCCATCCACTCTAGCTACGATGTCTTCGTGGTGGTAGGTTGATTGAAATGTAACCGGAAATCTTTTCTTGTCGTCTCACTGTGCTTTTTCTAGTTATTTGGGTGGGATCTGCGGTCTTTGTGGCGAAATGCACATCAGAATTGGTGCGATGCGCTCCTTCGGGCAGGTAGACTTCCGGAAGCCATCAAAGCATACCGGTACATGATGGACAGGACTGATGAGGCTACGAAAGCACGCTGCCTTGATTGGTCCACTGGCGAGTCTTCTTGATGTAAACCTCGTACAACTCTCATCCTTATCTTACTCAGGTTTCAAGCAAAATTGCAGCGTTGTCTATGCTGCTGCTGCTGGAGTGACTGACCTCGCTGTGGGCGGAGATGAAGCCCTCGCTGCGGGTAATTACGACAAGGCTATCGAGCTTTACTCCGCAGCGATCGATCTCGACTTCGCAACCCATACCACCTTTGCGAACCGCAGTAAAGCGAGGTCGGGAAAAATGCTATGGAACGATGCACTCCTCGATGCGGAAAAGGTGGGATGACAGTTACCATTTTGTACTCAACGCTAATTTTGGTGATACGCAGGTCATTGAACTCGACCCTTCATCTTACTTTGGATATCAGTTGAAGCATGCGGTGCTTCATGGCGCACATCGATATGATGAAGCCATCGAGGCGCTCAAAACCATGCTCTCCAAGTTGGAAAGTGCTCCCGATACAGAAACAAGAAGTACGCCTCAAATATCACATCTTTCAAACATTGTTGACTCTCTGTCCAGACTTGCGCCAACAGTATATTAGTCCATCCGAAGCAGAACATGCTATCGAAGACAGCATTAAGGCTCAGCTCGACAACACCCCGCACCGTCTAATCAACACCTCCACTGGGCGCTTATGCAACCGCGAGGCACAGATCAATGCCTTCAGAACAAGCACAGTGTACAAAGAACTTTTGTCATCCACAATGAAACATCCGGACTTTCAAATGGAGCGCATTCAAGACGTGGTGTCGATGTACTTCCGTTATGTCATGCTATCGCATAGGTGGGAAGTGACGGAGCCATCACTGCATGACATCCAGAACAAGGTGGTGTACGACTTGGATCCAGTTGGTGGCATCGCGAAGTTGCAGTCATTCTGTAGAACTGCTCGTGATAAAGAGTATCGCTGGGCATGGATTGATACCTGTTGCATCGACCAGACTAACAATGTCGAGGTCCAACAATCGGTTAACTCCATGTTTGTCTGGTATCGTCACTCAGCACTCACCATCGTCTACCTGTCGGATGTTCTATCTTCGTCGCAGTCTGGCGCACTCACAAGGAGCGCTTGGAATACGCGAGGATGGACAGTTCAAGAATTCCTAGCCTCAAAATTTGTACTCTTTTATCGAAAGAATTGGTCTCTGTATCTCGACGATCGCTCTCCCAACCACAAAGATTCTCTTGCAATCATGCAGGAGATGGGAGATGCGACGAGAATGGATGCACGAACCCTTGTTGCCTTCCAACCGGGGATGAGAAACGCCCGGGAGAAACTCCAATGGGTGTCAGCGCGTGTTACCACGTGGCCGGAAGATATTGCATACTCATTGTTTGGTATGTTCGGCGTCAACCTACCTGTCATTTATGGCGAGAAGAAGCAAAAGGCACTCGGGAGGCTCTTGCAGGAGGTCATAGCTCAGTCGGGCGACATTAGTGCCCTGGACTGGGTGGGGCAATCATCCGAATTCAATAGCTGTCTGCCAGCCGACATTACTTCATACAAAGCACCACCATACACCCTGCCATCTCTGTCTGAAGACGACATTCAGACATCAATCTCCTCGCTCCGAGATGTCATGGCTGTAGATTTGGTTCTAAAAATTTACGCCCGACTTGACAACTTGAGCGCGCCTCGTTTCGGAAACTGCAGACTTCATCTGCCTTGCATCGCATTTCGTATCACAGCAGTCAAACAGAGTCGTGCGGAAGACCAAGAGATATATGAAGTCAAGGCCGACGGGCTTGATGACCTGCTGATCACCACAAAGGACAAATTGAATCAGTTCTCATCACCACGACCCACCATGCAGACCTTATTGCTTGTTCGTCCGTGGGATCGTTATCTGCTCGAGCTTCCTCACTTTGTGGAGCCGTCTGGCTTGGCAGGGCTTCCTGACGTCGCCGACGACACGGACAGCGAAGAGGAGTATTGGTCTCCGCTCAGCTCTCCATTACAGAATTCGCCCAGCGAGTTCCCTGAGGCACAGGAGTCGGTCGATTCGGAACTGAGCGATCGAGCCTTGCGATTGATCGTTCGTCTTAACCAGCCTTTCAACGCGTTTTTGCTAGCGCATCAGCGCGGCGGAGAGTACAAGAGAATCGCGTCAGATCATGATATTATTGCACAAGTCAAAGATCCTTCTTCTATTCCGGACATGGTCAAGATGCTAGAGATATTGTAGCGACATGCATTTTGGGTGTTATTTATATCAATAATCCACATCTCTGTACGAAGATGAGATTCAGAGTCCAGACTTCGGTCTCCTTACTGCGAAACACCGAGGCTATGACGGGTACGCGCGTCACGTAGAAACTCGAACATCAATAAGCAGGAGCTCGCCAGCCTTCTATTATCGAACCCAAATTATATACCATCGTCATAATGGTAGTCGACTGCACCAGGAGAGACTATCTGTTGAACTCCTAAACTCTTCCTTATCAGATATTGTTTTCGTAAGACAGACATCTATCATGCCCGCTCGCCGCAGATTGGCCTCTGTCGGATGTTGTACATCTTCCAGGACTTCGTTGATAAAGGTCGAACGATGACCCAACCACAAGAGTTGCAGCACACCTATGTTTGGGATAGCAGCCTGACTGTCGTGCGATGCATGAAATGCTCTTGTCATATGTAGCGCCAGTCCCAACATTATCACCGATGCAGATGCCGCGAAAGCCAACTAGAACCATTTTCGATGAATAGTCATCGCATAGATATCATCACGAACTCACAGGAAGAAGGTTGATCTATAATGCTCCATTAGTCATTTAAAAACAACATCTGCGCAGTTCACTTACGTTGAGGCGTAGGGCAATAAACTCCTCGTTCACATAAGCTGTCCCGTTGCCAGGGTCAATTCCTCCATCGGCTGTGCCCATTTGTCCCGCTAAACATGTGGCACAGAATGAGCGAGAGTTTAAAAAACGTCGAACGTATCCCTTACCTAGCCAGATGAGTTGTGCAGCTGCTCTCGCAACCGCGAATTCTAGTTCATCCGGTCTCAAAGTGAAATTAGAGATTGGAGGAGAATTGTTTCGGAATTGTGTAGATTCCTCGGTGAGATTCAAGCCTATCAACGACATGATATACCTAGAAGTCAAGCCGTACGTGAGACATTTTAACAGTGCAGTCAAAGTTTTTGGCCTACTCGTCCGCAACAGAGAGTTCGGTGATTTGTGAAGGTGTACCATCAAATGTAATCCCGCTGCTGCTATCCGGGGTAGCTAAAGCACTGCCGATCTAAAATTGACAGTATGTCATTGAGCTCGAAGTGAGCGCCGTATAACGCACCTGTGTTTGCCAACTAGTATTCGACCACCCGAATTGATACATTTCCCATTGCGTGGATGGCTGCGATGTGAACGCAGGACTCAGTAGGCTGTTGGTTTGCATGTTGACTACCCCATCTGTAGTGTTCGCTGACAGCGAGCAATATACGAAATAGACCTGGATGACGTATGGAGTGGCAATGTCAGGGATAGCTGCAGAACGTATTGTTATCGTGACTGTGTTACAAATAAGCAAACGTACCCCAAGTCATGTTTACAGCAACCTCATCTTGTACTGAAGGGTCGATCCCCAATAATGTGGAGACCATGAGATAGACACCAGGAAGCTAGAGTCAAATTGTTATTCAACTTCTATAGTGGGCGCAAACTACTAAGAGAACGCTTACCTCCGAGACGCCACCGTAAGAATCTTCATATTCCATCCATGGAATTATATGTATCTGATCTGACCCTGTAGACACTGTCAGCGTGATAAAATATCACCGCAATCACAACCACCGACAGAGAGTGCTCGCATTAAGCACGCGAGTGGCAACTGGCCCAAACGGAACGATCGCTGTGCTGGTATTGGCAGAGTATTTCACATTTGGAACCAATCCGCAACTCGAGGCTACCGTCGTTGCGTTCACAGTCGCATTCCCAGCTATAGCGGTTGTTTTGAGGGTGTCGTAGAGTGTGGTGTTGGACAACCCTGCGGACACGAGTCCAGTCAAATGATTGACAACCGGTAGGGATGTGGTAATGGGTCCCAGGTCCGTTAAATAGCTATACGACGAATCGTCTAGCCATCCTAGTGTTGTGGGTACCGAAGTCGTCATAGAAGCATTGAAGGTTTGAAACTGTAGGAGAGTAGAAGAGGTGACATGGAGCACGGTTATGCTCGCAAGGTAGGCTGCCACAGCGGAAGTCGTCCACCATGAGGCAGGGATGTCAGTTTGTCGCCAGACACCAGTGAGTGCAGAACCGAGACCCGCCCACGCGCCAGAGATGTCATGAACGGCCGTCAATTTCACACGGCGTACGAGTGTTCTTGAAATCGCAAGCCGTTGGGTAAAGAAGAGCAGAACAGCCGTGTATATCTGGATCAAGTTATATCATTGGTGTATCGTTAGGATACTGTGGACGCTGTGGATACATACGGTATAAAACGCTTGCAGTGAAGCACTAAGCACCACAGGCCAGAAATCATTGTTTGTTGGTGTGAAAGCGAAAGTTACATGGTGTTCCCAGTGACGGACATAGAAGAAAAGAAGGACGATGTGGATCATGACCAGCATGCCATGCATGATGTAACATACGCGTGGCGCAAACAAACCATTGCGCGCGTTTTTTGAAACAGTTTTCGAACGAGCCTTCCAGTCCGCCGAGGGGGAGATTGTACTTGTCGGCACGCAACAGCAAGCATTCGATCGACACGATACACAGGTCCTCGACATACCGAGTGAGTGTAGTGGATGTTAAACAGGTAAGTACTAGTCAACTGGCTGGTCTCCCTGGAAGTGGCCCTGAGACCTTGATAGAAGTAAGTCAGTCATTCCTTGGATTTTCTTCTTTATATGTGAAAGCATGGCATCGATGTTTCAAACTTTGAAGTGAGGGTGATGCGGCAGCCAACCTGTGTCGTAAAGCGGCCCATTCAAATGCTCCCGAGGACGCATTAATGGATTTATCGCTTTTGTTTTTTTCTATACCGTATTGTTCTACGTACTACAAGGTCACATAGGCCAAGTAATAATGATCTGATGGGCATCCCTACACGACGCACATCAATCAACGACTCATATGCAACTTGAATCTAACTGAGCCACTCGACATACTTCTTAGATAATTATACCTGGAGGGATGGATTCAAAGTAACACTTGAGAGTAAGGAGGGAAGCACAACATCCATACTGTGCAGCGCCCATGGACAGGAGCGTATCGAGTGACCCATCGTCCGACTCATCGCAAGTCCAGACACGGTTCGGCCCGTTCGGGCCTATATTTGTCACATGTATCTGGTCATAACAGTTTCGGGCCAATTTCCTGGCCGTTCCGTTGGTATTGCAATCTCATTATTCTCCATAACAATACTCTAGCAGGGTTCTGCAACTTTCCTGCATTCCTTGTTCAATCCTGATTTAAACGTACTCTGTCGATTCCATATGGCCACTGATTTCTGGGCCAGTTCGCACTAGTGAGGAGGATCAAAGTCACGAGGCATAAGAAGCTTATGGTGGGTATCATAGCAAACGATGGATAGTGGACCGCGCTACCTTGAAGGAGTCTCGTTCAGATGACCTACAATACGTGGATGATCCGGAATACCTCGATTTCTTTGCAATTTTCTTTGCGAATGGTGAGTGTAATACACCTGCGAATGCGGAGTGACGTTCAAACTTTTCTAGTTATCACAAAACTAGGAAAAAAGCTCAACTTCAGGCAACGCGTCATCGCGACAGCCATTGTATTCTTTCGAAGATTTTATATCAAAAACTCGTATTGCGAAACCGACCCATTCATTGTCATCGCAGCATGCTGTTACGTGGCTGGAAAGGCGGAGGAGTCGCCCGTGCACATCAAGAATATGGTAGCAGAGGCTCGCCTTTTCTTCAGCCGTGTGTTTCAACACCAAGTATATCTGTTTGAATACTAATATCAAGTTGCACAGAACAGCCGTACGGCGTGAAATACTTTCCATCAGACAATTCCAAACTCGCCGAGATGGAGTTCTACCTCGTTGCGGACCTCGAATGTGATCTCACTGTTTTTCATCCATATCGCACGTTGTTGTCCCTTTGCAAGAAGGAGAGCTCAAACGACTTGCAGACAGAGGCTGGTGAAGTGGGAGTGGGAGTGGACGATGGGCCACGGTATTGGGGAAGTGGTGATGGGCAACTCGAGTTGCCAGATGATGCGTTCCAGCTAGCTTGGTGAGCGGATTTGTAGGAGGAGTGTCTCATAACTGACTCTAATCGTAGGTCTATCGTCAACGACACATATCGCTCAGATCTCTGCTTGCTTTATCCTCCCCATCTACTCGCCATTACGGCACTCTATCTCGCTGTTGTTTTACACGGTCCAACTAGAGAGCTCCTCCAACAGCAGTCTCATTCAGTCGAAGCAACACCAGTCCACAATTCCCCGAGAAGATCGTCGCGACAAAATTCTAGTACATCATCGAGTCACTCAAAGAAACACTCACAGGACTTTGTTGCTTTCTTTGCTGAACTTAACATCTCAATGCCATTGGTCGCCACTATTGCACAAGAAATCATTTCACTATACACACTCTGGGAGCGGTACCTCGAAGATTCAGATCATGTTGATTCTGCAAGAGGTACATTCTACGGACATGCGTCGGCCCAGACACAACCGACAGCGAGCCATAGCGGGGTATCTACGCCCGTGGAGAACCTGGACGATGCACAGAGGCCCCATGGTGCTACGCCGACCTTCTTGCTGCAGGTCTTGACGAGGATGAGGGAGAACAGGTTGTCAGATATGGCGCATGCGTCTTCTGGGAGGCATGTTGCGGTGAATAAGATGTTAGAGCGGACACAGGCTGCTGGGTGATTAACTATACCATCTTCATTTACATCGCTACGCATGTATGTACGTTTTGTATTTCATCTGATTGACTAGCATAAAACCCCTTCAAGTCTTGGTAACGTCACTACACGTGCGATGGACCATTGACTCGATCAAGTATGTACTAACCCCAGCTAGACCTTGATCAGGTAACGTTATGTAAAATTGGATGTTCATTAACGTTAAAGTTCACCTCGATGCAACCTCTCACCCTTTAGTGCTAACAAATACTACTAGCTCGACAAGCGCTGTACAGACTGCTCTAGAGTCTGCCCAATGTCAAACGAACATTCTGACCCCAAGCCCTGTATATGGAAACGATACAAAATGGCACATTCTTATTGTTGAAACAGACCTGCTTTTGTATGGATATGTCATGGTGATCGTCCTACAAATAGTACCGCCAAGCCATCATGCCTCGCGGCCCGCCATGAGGCTGGATGGTCAAAGCGGATGGGCTTAGGGAATCCGGGCGTCTCGTAAGTGCCGGTTATTACCATCAAAACTGACGTATAACGCTTGCAAGGCAGTCTCATACTCCGAATCTCCATAGGGTCTAAAGGCTACTCAAGAATCGTTTGAACTACAACCCAATCGTCGTCGAGGAAACTCGCAAAATGCAGTTGCAGGTGAGCTCCACGTCCAGATCTCCTTGTCACGAAATGCAGACCTGACCGAGGCCCAGAGCATAATCTACTCCAAGCCACCAGCCATCGTCACTTTCTTGCTACTAACGAGCCTCCCACTCGTCGATCCCACATGGGTGGTGCGATCTCTCTGCGCGACTCACCTTGGGAGGCGCCTACTTCGAGGTTCCAACAGGACCCTCATGGACAGACTCTATCACGCACTCTCCTCTACTTGTCTTCGTGTCCGCCTCTTACTATTTCCATTCCCTGCACGTTCGCGGTGCGGAACATTCCCCACGCTAGAAGCGGAAGCGAAATATTGGTGCATTGCTGCTCGTTACCGACGCCACCTTGCACAGTCTAGTGCTCGCCGGCCACCGCAAGAGACATCTGAGATACCTCTCGTGACGTACTATACACCACGTCTTCTACCTCAATACCGCGACGTACAGCACCTCGACGAAGGAAGCAGTGTATTTTCTATACCAGCCAAAACGTTTTGCAAGTGGCATAGGATGGTGTTTCGGGGATCGGTGAGTCCTCCGTCTGACATTGCTGCTCAGAAGAAGTGATGCCTGCTTGGTGTTTGGGATCAAAGTATCACCCGACGCATGCACAAGCAGTTGTGCGCATGAAGTATTACTCTCACAGAGACCTGAAAGAAATGCAGCGGATTGCGCGCCTTCTGTCAGACGAGCAAGTGTTACGCCGGCCTTGGTCGCCAAAATATAGCGAACTTTGGAAGCGATGGTTGGATACCAAAAGTCCGGACGTAGTCATCGTGTTTGAGTGATGTAAAACAGTTGGGGCTCAGGTATTTTGCAGCATCACTGCCGCAACTTGCCGCACCACTAACGCATCACAACGAAACATACATTTAATGCTCATTTCCGACAACTACTGTAATCATACACAAGATAATTGACCTATCAGTATTACTCGTCGAACTCATCAACTATGCGCCTCTCGGACATGCCTTTGAGAGGCTGAATTTAGAGGTCTGTCTGCGATGGACGTAGACGTTGATCTGGAGTGCCTTGGTATACGAATGTTCGAACTCTCGTTGGCCGCAGGTGCTGCAGGGAATGAACAATGGGGAAAAGACGCCGGCACGCACCAAGACTGATGGAACCCATATGAGGGTCTCCCAGTGCACTGGAATCATGATGACTGAGATCCGTATGCACCAGAATTTGAAGAAGAATCTCATATTCACGGTGGCGGGAAGTGAGCCCGAAGTCGTTAAGAAAGAGAAACATACCAAAAAGCCCAAACCGCAGCCACGGCCACGGCCAAGGAAGGTACATGGAAGTACTTGACGTGCGCAAGGATGAGCGTGCTGTTGTGCTCGCCTGCGACTGGGGTGCGTGATATCTATCGATTTATATGAGGCGACGATGTCAGCGAACGGGCGAGCTCGGCCTGAAATGAAATTACCTCGCGCTTTCCTTGACGCGCGAGGCTCTTATTTTGCACCTGAACGCATGATTGTTAGTTCGTATATCTTATGATGAAGGTGCACACGTACACATTTCTCCTTTGTGCTGAGAGCCCACTCGTCGAACTCGGGAGGAGTGTCTACGGCAGTCGCATTTGCATTCTCGACGAATGCCTCGCTGATGATGTTCATGGCGAATCCTTGGTCGCTTTTCAAGTTAGTAGCCGTGTCTTTCAGGCGGCCCGCAGCGTTGTGGTTGACTGGCGGGTAGTAAGGTTGATTCCATCTGGCGATGAAGACCAATTGCTAGTCAAGGCTGCAGAGGTGCATGAATTGCTGAGAACAATGCATACCATGGACAATGCTGTAGGTATACTTGGTAAGAAGGATGCGTTGGTGCGGTGCGGTAGTGCACAGCCACCAAATCTCAGACTTACCCCACCCTACCGCATCACTACCGCACCCATGAAGTACTATATTCACTGTGATACTATAATTCTTACACAAAAACATGTACTATGGTATTTCCTAATCATAAGTCATGTCTAAGACCTTTGTGGACGACGTAAACATGTTATATACACATATAAGACACTTGTTGTGTAGGGTGCCGCAGGCACGATGCGGCAAAATCCTAAGGCCCAAACAGTTGTTGTAATGCTCGCTGTACCTGATAATATACTTTTGTTTGTTTACCTCACATCTGGGCTTTTCGCATGAGATTTCTCCTCACCCTCCTACGCTCGCCGCCCAAGCCTTCACTCTTACCCCACTGCAAATATGGCACGCGGCCCTTCTCTACACCTGCGACCCCTTCATTTGCGTCCGTGAAATCCAGCATTCCCCAGATAGGCAGCTCTAGCTCACCCTTGACGATCACCCGACAGCGTGCAAGGATAGTGGGCGAAACCGGGGTGAGCATATGCATGTGCGATGAGCTAGGCGAGATGGCACGAATGAGAGCGAGGCCATGGCAAGTGGAGGTCGAGGGTACGGGCGGATATCTGGCTTGGACGTATGGCAATTCCCGGGCGCCAGACGGGTCTAGATACACTGGATCTTCGGTTCCAGGTTCGCATTCGACAAGACCAACGATCGCGCCGTTTAAGACGTTGGAGATCTCTGAGGGTATTACGTCCTCGTATCCTGCACCAATCAGGATGACTTGGTCAAATGCCCGACTCCAGTCCGCCTCGTACGGATACCGGGCACAGAGAGGATGAGAGGTCTCCCATTTGGTTGCTGTCATTTGACGAAGAGGAGCGGATGGATATGGAAACGACATCGATGTAATAGATGGAAAGATAGCATAGAAATAAGACAGGATGTTCAAGTTGCGCTGGTCGACGGCATTAAAATGCGCATTTGCTAAATTTGGTGATATTGCTTCGAGAGTATGCTGGAGCGCCTTGGTCGGCGTGGACTGGAGAATGTCATAGGCTGGCCAACCCTTCTCCTCCGAACCGACGACCTCAAACAAGTGAGTAGCCTCGGCGAATTCTTCGATCTTGGCATTTAGGTTAGCACCGAGACCCTTTGTCCACCCCATTGTATTGACCACCAGGGGAATAACGTCGGTGACCCGCGTGTCGATCGACTCGTCATCAGGCATCGAAGTTTGGATCTCGAACTTGTACGTTTCGAGGAGCGCTTGAACGGCCGCAAGATAGTGTGCCGGACTGCACCGTGGTGAAGTCGCTCCAACGTAGTGCGCTCGGTATGGAAGGCTAGGATGTGTGAAAGGCGGGCCTAAGATACAAAGATAGTTGAAGGGCGCTAATGAGTTAATGTAGTGATCACTCACCAAATACCGGTGTATCTATAATATTTAGGGCGACCAAACCCCCAGGTGTGAATTCAGACTGCCCTACGTCGCATTCAAGATATGCGACGCGCCGAAATCTATAAAGTATTGTTAGCGGTGTTCATATGTGTTGAATTCCAAACATACCTTGTTAGAAGCCTGTTCAAAAGCGTCCGAGCAAATGTACTTTTTCCGGACTTTTTCGGACCCTTGACAACGTACACTGAGGGTTGTATGGGATCCGCTGAAGATGGCGGCGTCTCTGCCGCGCTTAGGGCAATACTCCACGATTCTGGTAATACGAACGGTAGCACGTCCCTGTCGCTGTGCGTCATCTGTATGATAGGATAAATTATACTTTACATACATTCAAGTACAGCACACGTACCAAGTTCACGCCGGGCCGTATAACCTCTGCCGAGCTTCGCTGCCAACGCGAAGGTTCGAAAACTCCATCAAAGACGCGATATACCCGTCCGAGACCCTCCACTCCCGTATCGAGCGATCGAATTGCCACTACAGCTCCGCCGTGATTCTGTCTCACGCGAGGAGGGAGAGAATATATGTCCAAGTCGGTATGTACGTTCGATGAGGCGCATTGCAAGATGGGGATCGGAGCAGAACGAGGAGCGAACACATGGTGAGCTGTCTTTGAGGCGGACAACGTTACACCGAGTATAGAAACAGATCCTTTCAAAACCGTAAGAGTAAATATCCCTAGAAGCGCGAGTGTGTCCTCTCGGTCGATGGAAAGCACCGAAGTCTCGTTTTGCAAGCCCGTGGTACTGGCTTCATCCGCGGAGAGTTCATAAACGTTAATATCACGAGTGGGTTTGAACGTGGACAGCTGGGAAGGCTCAGATCTCGAAGGCTGGGGGTACATCCCAGTGCAATACTATGTAGCTGCGAGTGATCATAGTCGTACAGCAGCGAAATTGACTCTGAGAATAGAAAACTTGCACAGCCACTAAAGTAGTTCAACGCCATCAACATTCACCAGGACAACGCTGAACACGCATCGAGCACCATCATTATTAGCATTCCTTCGTCGCCTGCAAAGCTTGTTTTTTTTTTACCTGCACACCGACCACCTTTCGTTTCTCATGTTTTGACAGCTTTCTTGGATTGTACTCTTATAGAATCTTCATCCTCTCAGGCCAATATTTCGTTAAATAATCACGTACAATATGCAAACACAAGACCACCAGCGACGTTCACCGAAGCGCCAGGACACTTTCGACCTTCGTGACCAAATTATGGCCGACGACCCTACAGCATCTGCACATATGCACGCCCATGCAGATGCAACCAATACCTATGCAGGCGCTTCTGATGAAGAGCATTCTGTTCTAGAAGATGACTCTGATGGCGAAGAGCGCGAGATAGAATATATGGACGAAGACGACGATCGTTCGTCTTCACTTTCTATTCCAAACGAATCTATCGACTTTGATTTGGTCTACTCGCTGCACAGCTTCGCTGCGACCGTCGAAGGTCAAGCCAGCGTTGTAAAAGGTGATAGCTTGTTCCTTATGGACGACAGTAACAGTTATTGGTGGCTTGTTCGTGTGCTCAAGACACAGGACGTCGGATATATTCCTGCAGAGAATATTGAGACGCCCTTTGAACGCTTGGCCAGGTTGAACAAGCACAGGAATGTGGACGTGAGTCCTGCACCATCCAACAGTTTCAAACTCGTGACTTTCCTTCTCAGCTTGCACACGCGACACCACAAGAACTCCAAGAAGACGTCGAACGCGTGCGGAATAATCTTTCTTCTCGCGCTGGCTCGCACCATTCCCCTTCTCCTACCCCTGGTTTTCCACCTACAGGTGCTGGGCAAGGCAAAGGTGTCACATTTACAACTGCACGGTCTGTACACCGATATCCGCCTGCTGTCTGGCATGAGGAAGACGAAGAAGAAGAAGACATAGAGTGGGATGACGGTGCATATGAGGAAGAAGACCCAGACCTTGCAGAAGACATGCTTGTTCGACAGCGTCAAGGTCAGATGGGCCGCGATGAGCAGCAGGATTCTATGGGCATGCAGATGGAGCCGGATGACGGAATGAGCTGGGATGATAGCGTTGCAGAAGATATGCAAGCACAAAACGCGCAGAAGAAGATAGAGCAACAGATGCTTGTGGCGCCTGATACTCTGCGACCTAGCGGCACACCGGAGAGACAACAGGCGCAAATCCAGGTACAACAGCAGCCAGAGATAATAATCACCGAACAGAGGCAGCAGGAGGAACAACAGGCACTTGCTCAACAAGCTTTACGCCATCAATCTTCACGCGATCGTATCACTGTTGATGTCCTTTCGTCTTCACCGCCTTCATCTAGTAAGAGCATTGATCCTGCCGAAGTAACCGAAACAAGAAAACTCTCCGTGACGCCTTCAATTGCTCGTGATGAGCCAGTCAAACAAGCTTCAGCACCCAGCGGCCCCCTTCTTCCGAGCGCAATCATGCAGAAGCAAGAGGTCGAGCGACAACGCACCCGCGAGGAAATTGAAGTTCTCGAAGAGGCCTCGAAAAAGAAGCTCAAG